CAGATGATGAAAACGTAGAATATGAGGATGAGAGTGGACATCGTTATCGTTTATATCTTGATGAATTGGAAGAAGGGGCAAATTCAGGTTCTAATAGGAAAGAAGTAAATGTGGATGTCAAACCCTCACAAGGTAACCTTTCTAAAAAGTGTTGTATTTAATTGGGAGGTCTCAGTGTGCAAACCAGTTTCTAGAGAACACTGTTCTTGTATTAATTGTAACATTTATCTTCTGTTAATTCAGCTAACTTACTAGTAAGTTGTAAGCTCTTTTGGTTGGTCCCTTATTCGTTGGCCTGGTTTACTTAGAACTGAATTAATTAACTTTTGTGGGTTTTGTGTATTGTTTTTTTCCTAATCACTTTTTCCCAATTGGTCTTATTTTTTCCTGACTAGTCTAGGTGTAGTTAATTCCCTGTAAGCTATTATTTTATTTTGTTCACTTCTTCAAGTATGTTTTTTTTAGGTCAGAGATGTGTGTCAAGAGTTCATGTTTTCCTTCTGTAGTGTTTTGCTTAAAACATTAGCTTGTATTTTTAGCACTCTTTTCAGGATGTTTTCTAGTTTCTGAAATAAATCTCACTAATCTACGATTCCCAAGATTACTTCTCTCCTTATATAAAATTTCTTTTTTCTTGCAGTGTTTGATAAGAAACCAAGTATTGATGGACATGAAAATGGAGACCTGGGAAATTCAGTTGAAGCTTCATTAGGAGATGCTGCACCCAAATTAACCCGTTCTGCTGAGTCTTTATCCTAAAGAAACAAAGAAAGAAACAAACAAAAACAACTGGACAGATCCCATCTTTGGGAACAATTGATAATCAATATTGACTGCTCCGAGTTTGCTTATACAAATGTAGGTTGTAAAATGGTAATTAAAAGTCAAAGGGAACTGTTACTGTTGCCTGGAAAAAAGGCAGTTACCTCAGGGCTTCATTGTGAGCATTTCTAAGTGTGGAAAACTGTCTTTTGCTTGACACACAATGGCTACTTAACACATAGCATGTGAAACTAATTTCTTTTTTAATAATAAGCACCAAAGCATGGGATTTCTAAAAAAGATAACCTCAATACCTTCAGCTTTTAATTTCTCTTATATCCCTAAGGAAGGAAAATGAGATGTGACCAGCTTTATTTTCACCCCTTGATATTTTAAAGGGACAACCAGTGTTCAGTTTGTTGCAAAACAAGCTTTGACTCTGGAAGGTGAGGGGGAACTGTACTGTTGCATACCTGAATTTTCCACTTGGAGTTTTTGATTTGTAACTTCCAAAAATAATGTCGGTTTGTTTTGTTTTGTTTGTTTTCTCAGAATAGCAAAACTTTCTTACTTAAGCAAGGCCATCAAAACCCAAATGCAACAATGGAATAGTTGTTAGTTATGACCCATGATAATGGGTGAGCTTTTTGATATTATTATTTTAATTAATTCACTGCTAATGTTCCATATGAAAATTGCTCCGAGCATATTTAAACAGGGTATTATCGGGTTTTACAAACAAAATTAGTTTAAAAAGACGTCCACAGTTATATGTGCCCTTTGGTATTCTTTTCTGAACATCATCAGTTCAGTGTGCTTTCTTGAATGGATGTGGTTACTACCCGTGTGGAGCTGTCTGAGTTGGTCATTATTAGCTTGAGCTTATGAAATGCTGAGTACTCTCAATAGGTACTGAACATATTTCAGATCAAAGGAATCTTTAAAGAAGTGAAAATGAAGTGCATAGTACTTTATAGGAGGTGCTCAGAATTGTACAGTGTCTGGCCCTATCTGTTACTTTTGGGCAATTGTATTAACCTGTAATTGTCTTACTGTTGAAAGAGAAAAGATACTGTTTTTGTAACAGCAGTGTATCTGAAACTAGCTTTTATTTGGTGTACATCTAAAAGCCCATGGCATGGTTGCAAATGGAAATGTTGAGGATGGCTTCTTGGCCAGTTTCTTGTATAACTGCAGATATACAAGAGCTGACCTTGTAGATCTTTAGGTGAAATGCTACTTTTTTCCATACACAGATTCTCTTTGTAATCACATTTATTATTTCACCCTGCTAAGATAGCTTTCTTATTTACTGCTTTGCAGGCTGTTGGATTGTAATGTGAAAAGATTTTATTATGTGACAGTGGAACTAATGTGAAAAGACATTTTTGCAAGTGTTAATATGTAGGATATTATGTACCTAAAAAAAAAACAACCTGGATGGCCTTTAGAGTAACATCAATTAATTTTACCTTCAGAATTGTGATGTAGAACACGGTTGCTTGTTTCTCCTAGGAGCACTATATATATGTTAATAGAAAAATCCTAAAAATGTATATACTTTATTCAAAGATTTTTCTATTTATAAATCCCTTAACTTTGCTATTTACAAGATTGTTTTGTGTGTGTGCTTTTATGCATGAGTTCCATTCACTCAGTGGAGTTACTTGGTTCATTTTTTGTAATAGCCTTTCTCATATGGCATACTGTTTGAAGGCTTTTAGAATAGTCAAACTTGTACAGTTTTCACCACACAGGCGCTAGTATTTAAAAATGAATCTGTGTAAAGAAGAAACAGGTCACCAGACATATTTCTTTTTCTGATGCATCAGAAATGATAGGCACGTTGGGTACAAATTAGCAGATAAATCCACTGCTAGAACTTCACATTCAGATTGCTGTGGGTATTTTTTATTTTTATTTTGTTTAATTATTATTATTTTTTTTCCTCACAGTTAGTAAAGTAGAATGCACTCTGAAATGGTCAGTGGCCTAGAACACTCTATGCTCTCTGGTAGAGAGTGTGATTTAAAGCTGAGTAGTAGTTTTACTGTCTTTGAAAATCATAGCAGTATAAAATTTTGCTGCAGTTGTAAGAAGTGAGGCTGGTCCAACTAATCTAATAGCTTTTTAAAAGCACTGAATTTGCCTGCACATTTTCCCTGTATCTGAGAGGAAGTTTAATTTTTTTTATTTATTTGATCTTCCTTACTTTCTGGCATAGCTCATTTTCCATTTAGCCCATTGATCTATTCCAGCCTGAGGTGGGAGAGTATTTCTGGAGTTATTTTCCTGACATTCCTTGTCCACCTGTTACGATGCTGTACACTTTTCTTTATCATCTGGAAGTTGCTGGATCCTTTGTCTGTTATTTTGTCTATTTTTAATCTATGTATGAGATCAACAGAAGGAAAATGGCTGAGGAGAATGACTAAGAGCAGACAAATCAGGTATCAGTAAATCATCACTGTGTTTCTTTCCCTGCAGTTTTTATAATCTTTGTTTAGAAAGCCCTGAATGGGAGGAATTTGCACAGACACTCCAGTGGCTATACTCCATCCTTAGTACCAGCTGATTTAACATCCTTGTGTGCCGTAGTCATACTGATATGCTTTGAGATTAATATTTAAATTGAGAAAAGGTTTGCAAGTTGAGATTTCCAGATTCAGTAGACAAATGTGTATTTTTTCCTTTGTCAGTAACTGGAAGACTCAGTCCTGCTGATCCGCAGAGGTTGAAAGAAATAGACTTGGAAGAATTTCCGAGGAAAGGCAGTATTCAGACTTCATTTTTATTTTTTAAAGTGTGAAACCGTTTACTGGCATGTATATATATTTTTACTTCAAGAATGAAATAGTATTCTAAAGAAAACTGCATTTTTTTTTTTCTAGTAGATAATTCCTTGCCAATTAAAAAAAAAAAAACAACAAACAAACTTCATTGAGACAACTGTATTTTAAGCTAAAGGTAGACAGTCTTGTTGGCATCTGGGACCAATGTTAATTAAGAGCATGTTAGTTAAGGAAAATGCTAAATGGCAATAAATTTAACTCTGATCAAAGACTATGTAGTATTTCCTTTGTAGAAGTGTATTTGTGGCAGTGAAGATGGTTTGTATCCACCTCAATATATGTTAATTGACCATTATATCAAATGAAATCCAAGTATTTATTGTACGTGTCCAAATATCTATAAAGTCATTCCTATAGGAGGTATAACATTTAACAACAAATGTATCATATCTAGTTAAGCTGAATATATTTTTATTAGCCTGTAAATACTCTTCTGTACTTCAGTGATTTCTGTATCTAATTCAGACTGATATTTCATTTTCTTCTGTTTTTTATATATAAAATATAGATGCCTGCTCCTGTGTGTGATTTTTTTTTTTAAACATGTAATCAACACCCAGGTAAAAAGCTGATTATTGTGAGGAAGAAACAAAACTGCATAGTGTGAATTTTGATGATAATCTAGTCTTGGCCAGCAACGGTTGATAGCAGATTACATTTTTAAAGAGAATGTCTCAAATATCTTTACTTGAGAAGCATTTCCTGCAGAATTTTTTTCAGTAGAAGAAAAAAGGGGCAAAATTTGCAATGTACTCTGGCTGTACAATAGTACTATAAATATTCCATAGCTTAAAACTGGGGAAACTGCTTTTTTTTTTTTTGTTTGTTTTGTTTATTCAGATTAACAATGTGCTTTTTTTTTTTTTTTTTTTTTTTTTTTTTTTTTTTTTTTTAAATCTCTGACTTATATTTAAGTGGCCTTCCCTCCCTAGAGCAGCAAGTTCACCCTGAACTGGATGCCATACAGAGAGCTCAGATAAGAGTAATGGTATAGTAATTGTGGTAAGTAATTGTTTAACAGTGGTAGTGCTTACAGATTTCTTGAGTGTACGTGAGTACAATGGTTGCAGGCATAGGAACTCTATGAATAGACAAGGCTGAGTCATGTTGGATGAAAAGATGTTTCTAACCCTCAATTGGTGAGGGCTAGAACTGTACTATTTATTTTTTACCTCTGTAATTTTTAGAAGGGTGATTTTTATACATGGGTGACAAGTAGATGGAAAAAATAGAGTAAGGAGATAGAACTTACATGTGGCTGAGGTATAATAAAACAGTAAGAGAATTAATGGTAATCACAGAATCATAGAATGGCCTGTGTTGAAAAGGATCACAATGATCATCTGCTTTCAGCCTCCCTGCTATGTGCGGGGTCACCAACCACCAACCTCCAGGGATGGGTCATCCACACCCTCCTTGGGCAACCTGTTGCAGTGCGCCACCACCCTCTGTGAAAAACTGAGAATGAAGATTGAAACAGATGGTAAAAGGAGTAAAATAAGTTTCTTTATGCCAGCTAGGATCAAGAAGGAGTGTGCAAACTTTCATAGTGTCTCGGTGCCCAGCTGAATGACTTCAGACTGCTGCCTGTAATCACTGAATAGTTTCTCTGTATTTTTTACCAGAGATTGCTATGTAGTAAAAGAAAAGCTCATCCTGATGTTGGATTCAACTACAAAGTCAATTTTGTCATGCAGAACCTCAGCCCAGTGACTTGAAGAGCAAATTACTTACCTGTTGTCCAGAATGTGTCTTCTCTGAAGTGGTTTTGTTTCCAGTTCTTTTAAAACTACATCATTCATGTTTTGAGTGGATTTCAAGTATTAAGAAGTGGAAAAGTTTGAAGGAAAAATTCCTTCCCTTCCCCTCCCTCCCCCCCCGAGGCAGGACTCTTGTTGTTTCATGTGCTTAAGAGTAGCCTTGCCTTACCTGTATTTGCTTGTGTACTCTGCTGTAAGAGTAGCTTTGCTTTTGATGCCCACACTTGTGGTGTGCTAGTCATGAACTGGGCTTTGAGGCCAGACGTCTGAATAAGTCCGAGGAATATTTTTCACAAAATCTCCCTTTGTAATGGAAAACTCGATTCACCTGAGTAAATTTTTCACATAATTTTTTTTCTTTTTTTCTTTTTCCCCTTCATGCATCAGCTGTAGATGCTATTTGGTGCCTGTCTGATAGCTTTCTGCCTAGTGCCTTGTGTCTTGTTTTGCACAGCTGTGCTGAAGAGAAGCAGTACAACTGCTGGTGCTCTGAAGGCTCTTTAGCAGGATACTGCTGTCCTCACCCCCTTCGGGATCTGTATTAGGAATGCATTGGTCCCTAAAAAATAATCCAGGAAAGATGGTTAGAACTGTATGTTTTGTAGCTTTCTTTAAGGGTGGGATTTTTTTTGTTCATTTGTTTGCTTTTCACTTTATACTGGAAATTGTGATCACATCTCCCTCATTCACAGGTCTTGCTGCCTTCCCTTTTTTTCATGATCTCTTTCTGAAATGCAAAAGCAGTGTTCCTGATCTTTGCTGCCTTCATCCTGTGAAACACAGCCTGATTTGTCTCCCCAGCATTTACCTCCACCAGCAACATAGCCATCAGCTCTTCACTGAAAGGTTTTCAATGGCTTGGGCTCAAATAGAAGATTAGGAAGATATAAAAATAAGCAGAGCTAAATCAGAGGCGTTAACAGACATGTTTTGATTATCAATAAGAAAATGTCATAAATCAAGGAGCTTGATAGACATCTGGTAACTTTTCAGTTTGGTTTTAAGTAATCAAATTTTTTACTACAGTCCTGTTGATGAAATCCCAATTTTCCTATTAAATGTCTTAATGCCTGAATGAGTAATGCTTCTGTAAAATGGAGTAGAACAGAATGACATGATGATAATTTTATCTAATGGTGTTTGTTATTGTCCAAGTATTTATTGTTAATTTATTTAGGGGAATGGAAGCATTAAAGTTCAGGCTGCTGTACCAGAGCAGTTCCTTGTCCTCTGTACTGGCTTTACACTTCTGGAGATGTGTTTGCTCTGGATGCTTTTCCTTGCAACAAGAAGTGGGATGTTGCAGTTCACTCCCTTTGGGATCAACCTGTGGTGAGTGCTGCTGTTAACCTTTGCTTTGCTAAGGGGCAGTTAAAGCTTTTGGGTTCTCCTGGGCTTCATTCTGGGTTCTTCCTGGTCTACTGACAGTCACATGAGCTGCTAGCCTTCTGAAGTTTCTGAATTCAGATGGGACTGCATGCTGGCTGACAAAGGTGAGATCTCTGGAGTGAACAAGCTGGGACATGGGAGGACATGGGAGTCACTTCTTTCACGGTAGTATCCCTAAGGGAATATTACTCAAGAACCATTAGGCTATGATGTTTATGATGAATTTGTTTTGTTATTAAATTGTATTTTTCTTGAGAAAAAAATATATTGTGATCTTTTTCCTATTAAAGGAAGGAATACTAAGATGGCTTGTGAGATGTGTTATATATCAGGCTGCTCATTAGATTTCATACACTCTGTATCTTAGTAGCTTTAGTGTTATAGTAAGTTAAAGTAGTCGTCTCGAGTGACCTTGTTAAGTAGTTAAGTTTAATTTGTGCTACCTCAGCTTTATGCTATTTACAAATCCGAAACTTTTCTATTTCTTGGCGAATCCTATTTGTAATCAGAATCCTAATTCTTTTTAGTGCACGATATTTGTACTTGTATTTAGAGCCAAAAGGGGGCAGCAGCTTCTTTCAAATCTTCAGCGTTAACTGGACTGGGAAAGATCCTAAAGATCCTATTCCTTGCTGTTCGTGGATTCTTTTGTTGTTGGTGGTTTGTGTGTGTGTTTAAAAAAACTTTAAAAATAGAAAAACCTTGTTCTTTAAAACTATTTCTAGTCATGTTTACTCTTATAAGAACAAACATTCAGTCTAGTTAGTGTCCTGTAACAAGTGCTTTCCTGGTGAAATAATGCAAACCAAGCATTGTTCTCTGTATCTGTGCAGCATATGTACAGGAACACATGAACAGACACACATGAATCATGATTTCTTAAAGAATTCTTTTATTTCTCTGTCAGTTACTTTAAAAAATGAGTGTTCTCTTACATGCTCATGGTACAAGTTTTGATCTCCATGGGCGGATTAAGTGCTTCTGAAAGACTGGGCCAAAGCACTGATAAAACACAAAATGAGTTATTGGGTAGGTTTGCAGACTCCCCTGCTTACGTTTTGTGAGTGCCCTTCAATCACGCTCTACAACCGGCCTTGTGCTGTTCCTGGCATTTTTGCTGGAACTGAGGCTGCCCATTATGTCCAACTGCATTGAGATTTGATGATGAGGAGTAACAAAAAACAAAACAAAACAAAACAAAAGTGATGAGCATAACATTTTGTTCTTGTCTAGTTTCACACTGAAGGCTTTTGGTCAGAAGGAAAGAGGAAGACCTTCTGTAACCTTCTTCCTAATGCTGTTGTTTCCAATGTTCACCAAATGGTGTCTGTTGTCATTAGCCAGGTGATCAGTGACCTTATCAGCTGAATGTTCTGTTGCATAAAACATTTGTGTCCTCGATGCTGATCCTCATACAGTGATGTGACTGTGCTATAATCAGAGGGGATACCGTGTGCTAATCTGTCAGAAGTTAACTGTATAACTGAACTACAGATTCTAAAGGGGCATTTTCCTGAATGCCATATGCCAGGCATTATAAGATAGTAGAAAAGTTATGGCAGCATTGTTACAGAAATCATGGGTGGTTATGTGTTGTGAGTGTCAAAAGGGATGAGTTCTGTCTTTTGTGACAGTGCTGTATGTGTTTAGGTACCCATGGAAGAGAAATTACATGAGCTGTCCACAACCTTTTCACATCCATGTATGACTCTCATTCTTCCACATCACAAGAATCCTCTATTGAGGTCACCTTATTCAAATTTTATAAAACTGTCTGTCAGAACAGATGGTATCACTTAAGGATAAAAAGCTTAGCCATAGATGTGAAGAAAACCTGCCTCTTCAAGTAAGGCCTGCTAGCACGTCTTAGTCTTTATCACCTATGTCTTCTCTCCCTGCATGACAGAAATTTCTCACAGGTTTGTGACTTGTCAAAGGCCTTTACATTTTTAGATGGGTTTGACTTGTTGAAACAACTCTGGTCAAACGACAGCTTTTCTGTCTCTCTCATTTTGTCCATCTATGAAATGGTTGCTTGGGCTACGGAAGTTAAGATGTGTAAAATACATTTGTAAAGGCAATGGCTTCTCTTGCATGCTCAGGGTAACAAATCATTCAGACTGACAGTTCAGTAATAGCTACCGTAACTTACTATCTTTCTGCAGTATGTGTTCCCCTTCCTTCATGGCCAGTATCACCATCGTCTCTGCTCCCTGTCAGTCCTCATGTAGCTCTTCGGGAGGCTTCTGATAAGCTCCCTGAAGTACGTCAATCTTCGGCCACTGCTGTTTGTTTCTATGTTGTTTGTGTTAATTTATTTTGGGTGTTCTTTGAAGGCTAAATTTTGGCATTAATTTTTTGCTACCTTCCAAACAATGTGTGTATTTTTTAAAGTCTGTTATTGTCTGTCGTTACCCGATCTGACTGATAGAACACGGCAGTTTTGAATGAGGTGTTATTTTGCAAGTTTTCTCACTCCTTTTACTGGCTCAGATTCATGGTAAGAAGTGTTGGATATTCAGTGTTATTGTTCCTCTTCAGGTGAGGATATAATGTGGATCTTTAAGGCAGCTTTTCAAATCAGGTCTGTTAAAAATTTGTGTCTACCCAAAATTATGGATTTCTGAGCTCAGTTCCGGATGGTGGTCAGGACACAAGAGTCAGTAGTGTCACATGTATATTTATACATATATACAGCTTGTATATTTTGCTATGCTGAAAAATTATGTTGTGCTATACATTTATCAAGTTGTCTCCTTTCTGGATTCCTCTTTCTGGTATGACTGTATAAGAATAAACGGGATGATAATCTCACAGATGTTGCATGCCTGCTCTGTAATTGTGTCAAAATAAATGATGGTTGACTCCACTTAAAACATATGAATAACCTCTGCATACAGTAGATGGCAAAAGTTTATCAGGCCTTAGAGCTGCATAATGTGAGGCCAAGCTTAAACAAATACTGTGAAGTTAGAGTGAAAAAGCCTCCAAATTCTTGTGTCCCAACTACACAAAGATAACATAGAACAACAGATATTAGGCGTCTTCCTTATCTTTTATAACATGAGTTTTTCCAACTAAGGATGTCTTCTTCTTGTCTTTATCTAGTTTAGAAATACTTTATCTGGAGAGGTTTCTATTTGGATTCTCTAAGTGATCATGCAGAAATGGTACCTTAACTTCAAATAAATTCGTTCTTTGAAACTTATTCTTCAATGATTCATAGGCTTTGCTGCTGTTCCTTTATAATGTTGTTAGTCTTGTTAGCCCCACACAGCTACGGTAGGATAATTTTCAGTATAGATGTCACGTTCAACAACACCGATGAGATTCAAAAGAAAAGATAAATTCTGCTTGTTTACCCCATGCTTTGCTACTGTGGGGGAGGTTGGAGGTCAGTACAACCTTTACAGCATCACTGACATTGGAAAGAAGAGACTTGTATGGAACTTCTATTATGGAAAATAATAAAGAAAAAATGAATGCAGTAATATAACCTTGTCATTTCTAGAGTCCAGACTGATTGCAGTCTGAAGGGAGCCCTTAGGACACATGCGCATTAAGCAAATTGAACCTGGTTTTGGAGAGAGTGAACGAAAGAATAGTGACAGATTCTTACAAGGTTTATTTTCAGAGAACGCCTGACTTCTAAGGAATGAATCAGTGGTCTCATAGAGGTCACAAAACTCCTGTTCATAGCTAATTGCTTTTTCTTACTTACCCTCCTGAAATGAATTGGAACTGCCTGGAGAAAAATGATTGGCTTTGGCAAAAGAAAAAAATAAAAGTAAATGCCTAGCTTTGGGAAAAGGTGAGACACAGACAAATAACTGCATTTTGTTTAATAGCCACCTTAGTGGTGACTTTGTATGCACAGTTCTGAAGGCATTGCTGCAATGCAGTGCTACTATTTTAAGGTCAAAGGATATTAATTGTAGAATCTCAGAACAGTTTGGGTTGAGACCTTAAAGCCCACCCAGTCCCACCCCCTACTATTGGCAGGGATGCCAGCCCCCAGCTCAGCCACTCAGGGCCCCCTCCAACCTGGCCTTGGAGCACCCACAGTTTCTCTGGGCAGCTGTGCCAGCGCCTCACTGCCTGTAAGTAAAGAATTTCCTCCTAACCTAAATCTCTTCTCTTTTGGGGAATTTGCTGCCTTTTCCAGTCTAAGGAGATGAAAGTGATGAACATTTGTGTTTTTGTTGTGGTGTTTGGGAAACACTTTTGGTGGTGGGAGGGAAGGAGTTTTTGTGGGTTTTTGTGTTGTTTTTTTCTTTTTTTTTTTTAATAGAAGGCACTGTATTTTCTACAATTCATTTGATTAGAGGTGCCTAGTTTACAGAGTGTGACCCCATTCACAGCACTGTCAGAGGCTTGCCTTCAACTGCAGCTGGAACAGGTGGACCCTTAGGGCTGTGTCCAGTTAATATTCAACCTTCTTGTGAACTTTGCTGCATTTATACTGTTCCAGACTGCTAGGAGTGCCACCTCTGGGAAGAAGCTTGATACTGAATCTCTATTGAAAGTCTCTGTTAGCCAGATGGTCAGTCTCCTAAAGATGGTAGGCTCTGTTCTTCCGTAATCTCATGACATACTGGAGGGAGATCCAGTGCAAATGCAGCCCTTATAAGTGTGTTAGTGTTTTGAAGTAGGGCCTGTTTGAATCTTTGTTGTAGAAGGAAGATTTTTGAATACACTGTGTTTGCTGAGTCTGACTGTGTTACACCTGCAACTGGTTTTCACTGTGCAAATTAATGAGCTAGAGCAGCCTGTGAGAGACCATTCTGAGGAGAAATATGAGGATGAATACCCACCTGCTGGAAGATCAGTCATCCCTTTTCTTTCCTGCATAAGGGCTTAGTAGCAGGACGGAGAAACTACTATAGAGACTAGAAGTTCCTCTGCATATCTGCTGCTAGGTCGCTAAGAACTCCTTGTTCCCCAGGCTGAGGGGAAGAAGCCCCAAGCTGTTTGTGTCATCTGCCCTCAGCATTCACTCAGATTGGAGCCATGAAGCACTGTGCAGTGGCTGGCAGTGTGTGTGATGACAGAGCCACCACTGTAAGTCAGAAATAATGAAGACATCTGGGGATTGATTCCAAGCTATCTTTTTACAGTTTTTTTTGGGTTCTTTTTGAGAAGTGGAGGATGAAGGCACGTTGCACATTGAAACCCAACATCTTTTTCAGCTAAAATAGCTGTTCTGAGATGGGTTTGAATGGCAGCAAAAAATGGGCATGTGCAACAAAGAACAGTTTGACACTGCAGATGCAAAAAGCGTGTGGCTGAGGCATGCCAAAAGGTTGTTATAACACAAGCCATGTCATCAGCTGCCTGCTGCTGTTGCAGTGCTGCATTATCTTTGTGGGGAATAGCTCTGATTACTGAGCTCCACTTGTTTGCAAAGTGACAAGTCAAGCTAATTAGCTGTGTGGGTGGAGTATTGGATTCAGTCTCACCAGGGGGGTAGCCTCATCCTCCCCTCAATTATGTGCATCCAGCAGCAGAGCTGGGCACAGAAGTTTGTTCGTGGGCGTTTCTTCTCTAGAGATTATGGACACAGAAGCAAGGCTAAGTGGGGCACTGGGATAAGCTTTTTTTAGCCTGTCGTACAGAGAGTGTAAATTGCAGCCGCGGAACTGACACTTTTGCACGGAATAAGGAACAGTTACTTCTCACTCTGCAGGATATGTGACAAGAGTGGGTGTGCAGCGATGATAAAGTCACCAAGTTAAGTACCAGGCCTGTGCGACTGATTTACAAATACCAGTGTTCTTTATTTACATAGACATGTAAACAACAGAAGGTAAACAACACCACCCAGCTCGGTCTAATAAACAGGCTGCTGCTGCTTCGCTTCAGAACCTGAGGTGTTTTATACAATTCACAGAAACTGTATTGACAGCAAACGCAGGAGGACTACAAGGTTAGCTCAACTCTTTCTTCTTTGCACGGAAGTCGCATGCACTGTGCTTTGGCATGACAGAACTGCACCACTGAGGCCACAAAACAAGCAAATGCGAAGAACCCACTGAGAGCTGTTCTTAAGGTCAGATATGGCTCAAGTTAGCAATATTTGTACCTAGTATCACTTACAGCTTTTATGTACTCTTAAAGCACTTTGTGAACAAACAAGAAATCTTTGCTGCGTCCTTTGCAAATGATCCCCAGCTTACACACAAGGAAACACACAAGGCCTTGAAATACTGACTTTCCAAGAGCTCACGTTTTACCGGGCTAATTTCCCAACCTTGTGCCTTAAATGTAGCACCATTCTTCTCTCTTGGAAAAATATAACTTTTTGATATTCTGAGACACACATTCAAATTCAAGGTAAGGCTCCAAGTGCTGCAGGGCAAAGGATGGTTGCAGTCCCGACCTGAAGCTTGTGGCTTCAATGACACCTTTGCTGAAAGAGGAGCTAACAGCTGTGCATTGCAGCCAACCCCAAGCTTTTTCAAGTTTGTCCAAAACTAGAATTGAGTAACATCTGCTGCAAAAGAAAACCTATTTGAGCACAACTGTGCTGAGCCACTGTCTTGCATTGAAGCACAACACTGAACCATACCCATGTTGTCTTTTAGTTGTACAAATTTAGTGTAGTATTTCCATTTGAAATATTTAGTCAAACAGAAAAATACCCAGTGGAGCAATGAAGAGCTGCTTTGTGTCCAGGAACAATTTTTCTTACAGTTTAGCATTAACAACATCAGGTAGGGCCTGAACAGGATTCAATTCTTAGCTGTAAATTCACATTATAGTTCCACACACATTCAATGATAAAGCAGATTGGCATGTTTCTATTGCAGATATGTCTGCAAGGTGATCGCTATGGCTTGAATCCAAAGCTTGTTCCATCTTTTCTACCTGTACTTGATATGAATAGCAAGTTAGGCTCAGCTCATACACTAGGTCAAATTCAAGCATCTATAGATTGCTGCTGAAAGGCAGCTGGGCAGGTGAGATGGAGCATGGTATTTAAATGCTCAGCTGCCTTCTCTTGTGCACTTCACGCTTCAAGCAGTTTTACTTCTGCCCTCCCAAGAGGAACTATAATGATGATCTTCAGTTTTCAGAGGAAAGGAACTGAACCACATCAGCTGTAAGATACACAATTTACAGCTGCACTACAACAGAGGTGGAATAGAGAGAGAGCTATTTCTGCAGAAGCTGGTTTGTTGTTTTTTTGGTTTTTTTTTTTGTCCTTTCAATTCCACAGGTGAAAAGAAAACTTAAGAAACTCTCCTTAAATAAAAGCTATGTACAAATTGCACACGTTGCAAACGGAGCACTGAGATCAGTTACAGAAATAAGATATACAGTCTTCACTGATAACATCTCTTTTGATATAAACAGTGATAAACAGCATATGCTTTCTTCAGATGTCAGAACCCAGCAAGACTGCAATATTATGTACACAGGGTTTGTTTGCCTTCTGCCTTCTGCAGCAGAATCCTTTAAAACTCTGTTTTCACTTTGGAAGCTGCGCTGCGACATTCCTGTGCACCGCGTCTCTCTTGCTTAGCGGATCACAAGAGAGCTGTCATTGCTGTCTGGCTTATCGGGTTCAGGCAGTCTCTGGGTGTTGAGTAACCCTCACTCCCTAGCGCGTTCGCCTGAGGTTTCTGGTAGTCCGTACTATAGCTCACAGAGGTCAGAATACCGTTGGCTTTAGGTTTGTCGTAGTTTATTACGCTCTGGGGTGTCTGATAGTCTCCATTCCTGGTATCAGTCTTACATGAGCCAGAAAAACTGCCGGCAGAAAGGGAATGTTTCTGTGAGGATATTACAGGTATGTTGTAGCCATTTTCAGAGGGAAAGTTATTTTCTCTGGTGACGTGCCGCTCGATGATGGGGGTGGCATATTCAGGCTCCTGGCTGGTCAGGGGCAGAGCGTACTCGTGCCGGTTGGCTCTGTGCGGGCAGTGGTAGTGGTTTTCAAACTCTGCACTCCCCCTTCTTCCCTCTTCTTCTGTGTCCATGGGTCTGAAAGTAGATCCTTTCCGCGTTACTGTCCCAGTTCCGATCATGAGAGGCTGCTGATAATCTAAAAGGAAGTACCAACTGCTCAACAACACATAGCCACATGATTTTATGTAGTAAGTGGCAGAAAATGATTTGCTTATTATAGCAAACCCGTGATTATCAGGGATGTCAGGAAACACTGCCCCGTCTCCAATTCCACATCCTCCTTCATTGCCCAGGTGTTGCAGAGCTTGGCAGAGCTGCTCTGCAGAGGAGCTTCAATTTGTCACATCTTTACTCCCTCCCTCCCTGCCTTCCCCCGCCTACATACCCAAATGCATTAACATCATTTCTGGAGAATACCCCAAAACTCTATGAAAATGAAAAGAGGGAAGACAACAAAATATAAGCAATAAACCTGAGAGGGGACTTCAAATGAAGTTCCACAAAGGAAAAAAGTTCTCAAAACAAGTGTTCTACTTTTGCAATAATTAAGATGCCTGAAGGATTCTTAACGAGTCCAAGCGCCGGCTCTATTTAAAAGGAATCTCAGTGGCTGACTGACAGGAGGATAAAGTTAGGCAGAAAGGCAGCCAAGAGAGTCAAGGGAAGTGTGAGATGTGTGAAGTCAGCTTCCAACTGAAGCGTGTGTGCGAGGGGGACGAGCCATAAGGCGAGCAGCAGGAGTAGTGCTGCCGGAGAACAGTTCACCCCATGGAGGAGGGGGCAGGAGCTGAATTGGGAAGGGAGAAATGACCCCAGCAGGAGCATGAGGTAAGATCCAGGAGACACAGCCTCACAAAGTGGATATTTGCAGTTCTGGTCAGAGAGGATGCCAGGCTGCTGCATTAGAAAGCAATCTGAACTAATGGGGTTTTCAGAAATTCCAGAAAATTATCATGCTGAAATTCGGCATTTTAACTTTTTTACTTTGGTGCTTGTGAAAATTGCTTACTGATATACATGGTGACCTGAACAGCTCTGGTAAACGACACTGATAAAATACTGCATTCTGGCACAGGCTTGAAGAAGTTAGCTCAGATTCTGTTTTAGCATTGTAGTTCATCTGACATGAGCTTGGAATTCAATCCCATATGTCCTGTGAATCTTTCTGGCAGTTCCTGGCTACTTCCCAAATGTAGCATGCAGGGTGAAGGTGTTATGATATGTCATAAGTGATGCAGCTCTCACCAGCACTGCTGCTGCTACACTGAGGAATTTCACTTGCTCAGAAAGAAGTCTCTCCACTTGCTCTGGGGGCTGCCATGAGAACCAGCAAGCAGCGAGGAATTCAAAGGGGAAGAATTTCATGTAGTATTGTAACCTATCTGCAAGTTACATGCCCACCACAATTTAATTATGTAATGTCATTTGCTGCACATTTCTTAGCTTCAGTCCCAGTTTTCATTTAGTGTTTCTTATTTCTATGGAGACTGCAGGTGAAATGCAAACTTTGGGAGCTCTTGGGCCAGGACAAGAGGTATAAATTCTCATACACTGCAAGAGGAGAGGATGGACAGAGCAGAGGCCCCTGCAACACAGCCAGGGTAGCTGGTAACCACAGTGGTAAGGGACTATACTACCTTGCTTTCCTTCATGAAATAAAACTGCTTTATATTCAAAAACTGCATATTTATATTTTAAGTTTCTGTAAAGCACTGACAGATTTTAAAGTGTATTTCTCTAACAAATTTTTAGCAATTTTTAAGGTTTGAAGCCTAGGAAGGGCAAATACATTTTTCTGGAAGGTCGCTGATCACTGATCTCCTAAAATGGCTGCTCTGTCTGGCCTTTCCAGACAGAGAAAAACAGGCAGGCATAAGATGCACTAAGAGGATGAATTAAAAAAAACATCCCTTTGGAATACAAGCAGTACTGATGCAGGGATTTGCTCTCTCCAGACATTGACCTGAAGCCAAGATAGCACAGAAGAGATGCACTGAGGTGTTTTTCTCTCTTTTCCCTCATCTGTCACTTCAGAAGACCTCATCTCCAAGACAATTCAAGGCACCAGGAATACTGTACACATCTCAGCATGACTTCCAGCTGGTATGGAATCCAACCACAAACTGAATAAGCAATTTTTCTACTTGATCAGCAGCAAGGAACATCATATTTTGTTCCAATGTCAGAGACATTTGAATTAAAATAGAAATATAAAAATGTGCCAGCAATACCTTAGGTATGTTAATAGAATTATAGAAGAATCACAGAATCATTAAAGTTAGAAAAGATTTTTAAGAAATCTAGTCCAACTGTCCACCTACCACCAACAATGCCCACTAAGCCATGCTCTTAACTACTACATCTACCCTTTCCTTAAATACCTCTAGGGACAGTGACTCTACCACTTCCCTGGGCAGGACAGTCTGTTCTGAATTCTTGCGCTGCATCCCTTGCCTGAGTGCATTTCGTGCTTGCCTTCAATTGTAAGTAGTTCAGAGCAAGGAAAAAATCTTGCCAAATAAAATAGGAAAAAAACCAACAACAACAACATATAAAAAAAATGAAGGTTCATCTAGTGTTTTTGTCCCCCCAGTACATCTGAGATGAACACAGATAAATCTGTCCTTGAGCCTGAGCTTTCACAAGAGTTGGAGCTTCTAATATTGCTGGCCTGTCCTTCCTCCTGCTAACTACTTTCTGCACAGAATAAAATGAATGTATCAGAGAAGGAGCGAGGGAGCAATTGTTACCTGCCATGTCGCTTGTGACCAGATCTAGTTTTTGTGGTGTCTCCTTCTCATTATTATAGCTAATGGTAAATTCAGTTGACTGATGTCTGGTGAAGGGCTGCTTGATCTGTTTCCAACAACCTACAATAGAGAAATAAGAATAGAAGATGTCAGAAAGTTAAATGCTTAAAATTAGAAGGCTTATCAGAATGTTAAATTTTTAGTGTACTGATTGCTGTCAATATACTTAACTACTTACAAAGCAAGATTAAAACAGACTGCTTGAAAAAAACAAAAAAAAAAAACAACAAAACCCATAAAAACAAAGAGACTCTGAGATTCTCCATGTAGAAACTAAGCCATAGAGAGGGTTTTCTTCTTTGTCTTTCTTGGCAAGAATGACTTAAGTTATATCTTAAAGCCTATCAGTAAAATATAAGCTTTAAATCAGCAATAAATTTTGCCACCACTTATGTAGCAATAATAATGTTTGCAATTTCTTTTTTCAAATTTTTCTTTCAGTAGCTGAGTATAGTTTCCATGTCCTTGGCATCTCAGCACCTGCACTTATTTGTTCTCACAACATCACTGTGAGACAGAAGAGAGAAAATCCAGTGTGTGTTCCTTGTCTGGCATCTGTAACATGTGGTCTGTTGAAAAGTGGGTTCAACTCCCAGCTTGCTAAAGTCCCAAACCTGGTTAGATTCAGAGTTATTAAGGATGGAAAAGTCTACTAAGATCACCTAGTCCAACTGTCAGCCCATCCCCACCATGCCCCTAAATGCCACATCTGCACGTTTCTTGAACACCTCCAGGGACAGTGACTCCACTTCCTCCCTGGGTCTTGTAGAAGCTTATGCAATTGGCCTTGACCCACCAATCCAGCCTGTCCAGATCCTCCTGTAGGGCCTTCCTACTTTCAAGCAGGCTGGCACTTCTTCCAAACTTGGTGTCATTTGCAAACTTATTGAGGGTTCATAGTGTTTAGAAGCTTAATCTGTGAAGCATACACTACAAATGAACGGAGTGGATAAGAGGCTATCTCCAATTTCATGGGATTTGTCCTCATTAGCAAGTGCGAAAGGATTTTGATGTGACCTTGAAAAATCATATTAGCAAATATGATGTTAAGTACAAATTAGTTTTCTAATGAGGATGAGCTGAAATGGGTAACAAAGTTCCTTTCCCTGATGCCAGCACCTGCTGAGGGATGAAATTTTGGAGCTGAGCTGTTGCAAGAGATGTGAATTACTTAGTGATTTCTTTTTAATGGAAAGCTGAGTTTCAGAAGGATATTCCTCTGCAGGGTTAGCAAGCCAGGAAAAAGCAGCTGAGCTCCACCTTCCTGGCTGAGAGGAGGCTGCTCTAGAAAGCATAATTAAGCACAACAAGGTATGTTATTGCACCAGGTTTGCAGGCATCTTCTGCAGCAGAGACCTCAAAACAATCCTCTATTCTGATTTTAAATGTGAAGTACAATTCAGTATTGTTAGGCTTCATTAATATAGTCTCAATTAGGGAGGGCAGCAAAATGGAAACACTGAGGCCATAAAAAGATAGTTAGCACTTGCTGTCTTGGAGAATGGCAATCCCCTCTGCTGTGGGGAAGAAAAAAGGAAAGTAGCAATTTTCTGCAAAATAGGTGTTTTGGAGGAGGGAAGGAAAAGAAAGGCACCTGGGAGCACTCTTACATGATCATTTATGAATTCTGTGTAATAGATCTTTTGCTAATTGCCCTTCTGTCATAGAAACCAAATTACTTTGTTTCTCTGGGCACTGTTCTGGGATGACACAAGTGGGACTATCATTTGCCATTTCCCTTGTATGAAATAGCGAATTTGAATGAGGAAACATGGCTGCTCTTTCAGAAGCATCTCACCATAGTGCATAAAATCCTTCCCATTGGCCAAGGTGGCAGGACAGGACAAGACAAAGCCCACCATTCTTCACTAACCTGATTTCTGAGCATTGGATAATCCATAAGAAAGTCCTTTGGCTTCTTGCCTGTGAGGAGAGGAAAGCATTTATAAACTTCTGCTCTCATAGCATTTCATCTTCTTCACTCCTTCACTTCAGCAGAGAGTCTGTGTGTTTAGCAGCTGAAAACAACTGTTCCCTTTTAGTTCCTGGAGGATGCATTTATCAGATTGTAAGGCACACAAACCCATATTTCCACACTTGGTTGTTTCCCCATCTGTGTGCATGTTCTGAGTGCCGCTGTGCAAATTCCTTCTGTCTGAAGGAATTCCTTCATGGACTTGATGTTTGCATGTCGTTATATGTCACTCTAGGTAATGTTTTGGGTCTGTTCTTCTGAACATTTATGGATTTTACTGGAAATCCAGGGCAGAGCCAAGTACTGCTCATGATGAAACAAGATCACCAGAGCTTTGTTTATGCTTCCAAATCCCTGGATGTTGATAGATGCATTTTCCTGTTCTACATTCAAGGGCAAGTTCAGGAATGGCCACCTACTTCGACCCAAACTTAGCAGTGCTTCTTCCAATTCTGACTTGTGAAATAGAGTGGCTTAGTTTTATCTGCTTAACAATGTATGTGTACCACTCCTTATAGATCAGCCGTGACTTTGGGCCCCGTCTTTAATTGCCTTACGTGATGAGGAAGCAGAAAGAACAAGAGGAGCAAAATGAAATAAAATGCTTCAGATAGCTCAAATGTTTCCTTCCCTGAATTTCTGCTCAGCTTTGGTGTGCAAACTGTTCCATCTTCAACTGCATTACATTTTCACATTTGTGGGTATGTGTAGGCTGAACTGAGCAGCTGGTTGCATTGGACTGTAAATTGGGGTGTGTAGTTCTGAACCTGCTTCATCCTTGTTTTCCTCTAACTAGGGGATGATTAAAAAAGACAATTTACAGCAGCATGAGTTCTATTTGGAAGGAAGACTTAAAAAAAGATAATCTATTTCCAGTTTCCTGGTTTCTCTGGAAAGAGAGCACATATTTGATTGTGCCAGCTAGGACGCCACAGATATCTCCCATGACAAAAGACAGTATCTTACTTTCGTAGGGCTGCACAGATACAAATTCCAGAGAACAGGAACAGACACAGCACTATGAGGACTGGGACAATTATAGCTGTAAGCTTTAAGCCTGCATAGAAAAAATAAATGGATAAAAGTTAAAAAGGCAGATTACTCTGAAGATGGATATCTATTCCAACAGATAATCTTGCAGGAACACTCCTCGTAGGGGAGCATGTAAATGCAAAACAGTAGAACAGCAGAACTGCTCCTCAGCCATATGTAGCTGCCTGCCATGTACACGAGTGGAACGGAGTTGAGAAATACATTGAACTCTCGGCCTCTAGGCGGACACTTGGCACAATATCTGTAAGCATCCTTACACTGAGCAGTTTTCTTATTACATACTGGGTAACTTTTTATAAAAAGCCACTTACAGCAATGCTGTTTTGAGTTACTTTTAAAGCTGCTAAATGAAGCTGCCATTTTCCATGCTGAGTATCTGGCTCCTGCTGATCTGGCTGAAACGTTTCAGTCAAAATAATTCAAAGATTTCCGAGATTTGAGATAGGGAAAAATGTTTTGCCTGTGTTTGAAATGATTTAGAACAGGGATTTGGAAATTAGCCATGAGGTGACTTTTGTGTCACCTGTCATTCCTGCAGACACTTTGAGAGTAAGGTAGTGCACATGTCCATGGGATATTTACAGTTTAGCAGATAAAGTTTCAAAATATTCCATTTTCAGTGAAGATGGATACAATTTACCCATACCACTGCACAGATCAACAGAGTTAGCTCTTGGCAAGAGCAATCCAGTTTCAGAATTTTTTTTATTTTTTTTTTTTTTAGTAATGATCACTTCTTAAAAATTCTTTGTTTACAGAGACAGTGCTACAGCTATTAGCTACCCAACAGTTAGCAGTCTTTGGTATGGTGGGTCCATAATTCCTGCCTGGCTGTGAATCCACCAGTCAGCCAGTATATACTAGAAAATTTATTTGTTCACTTTTTTAAGATCTAAGAATTTACCTCCACTTAAAGGATGAAGATTGCAAATTAAGGCACTGAGGGAGAAGTATGAGAATTAATATTGCCTGAACCCCCATGAAGGTAAGTATTATGAAAAAAACGTTTAATTACACAATCGTGCACTACAGTATATTGCTTAGTGCTGGGGATCTGCTCTGAGAGGAGTTGTGGCAGCTTAGAGAGAAGGTAACGTTTTTGTAGGACCACTGCTCCATGTATAACAAAAGTCAGAAAACAGAGGGAGAGGGTGAGGAAGACAGGAGCTCCTTCAAAAATGCTACTGATGCTTGGGGCAGTCTGTTGAGCCTACGAAGCATAGCAAATAACTAAGCTGTCAGGGAAGAGAAAGCCTGGTATTACACACATCAAGAAAAATTAAGGCTTTCAATTTCTTTCTGTGCCTCAAGACAAAAAGAAGCCAAGCTCCTCCCTTCTCTCTCTGTAGTTAACCTTTAAAAATGTCTGAAGGGAAAACAAAAGTTTTGATTTGTGAGAAAGTTTACCCAGGCTGGGGTGAAGACATGATGCATCACAGAAAAAAATCAGTGATCAGCTGTGTTACCTAGATTGGTTTCTTCTGATGGGATGGGCTCTGTAACAGTTCTGTCTTCTTTCCCAAGGGAGGTTTCTGTGCTCTGACTTGTTTTTTGCCACATTGAATGTGTAAATGAACTATTCACTGCAAAAAAGAGCAGGGAATGAGTTATTCTGTGGTAACACAGCACTTCTTTGGAGCACTGTGCCTTGGAAGCACTGTTTACCCCATACCTTGCATTATTCGACAACCAATCAGCTCAAGCTTCAATGCTATCCGTTGGTTCCAAGACTGAGGAATGATTCGCACATAACGGGCCACAATTGGGGGAATGAAATTATTACGTACAACGTCACCAGAGTCAGAGTTGCCTTGGAATACCTGCAACAAAATGTAAGTGTGTTATTTGCTGTGTTTCAAAAATCTGCTTCCCAGAAATGCTCCTGACTTCCAACTTCAAATATTTTTATTATCCTAAAACTAATGTATCAATCATCTGGGACACAGCCACAAGATTTTTGGAAATGGGAGCTCTGAAAAGAATCAGTCTTTTTAATTCCAGTAGACGATCGCCTTTCACTGTTAGCTTAGAGAGGAAAGTTCTATTTCCATTCTCTGTGATCTCCAGTTAATGTACGGTGGTATAACGCAACATTTTTGATTTAATAGTGCTACACGGCCCTTACTTGTGCATCAGGGAATACCTATTTATTTAAAGTGAAGTATTTCCAAGTATTTCAGAAAATTGTCATCTTTCTGTATCAAGACCAAAAAATGACCACTAACCCTGTAGCTGTATGTGCTTTGTTCTGCACTTCTTTCCCGAGATCAGTTCAGGCTGTGTATAGAACAAGTAATCCTTGCAATACTAGTACTTGGAGATGCTTCAGCATGGCCTAGGAGAATGTATGAGCCCAATCAGATAAGAAAGTGAGCTCAGCATATCTGAGATAAGACACCAGGCTATACAGAGTTTAGATAGGACAAGTTTTGTCATGTTTTTTGGTTGTAACAGAATATATCTAATAATGTTTTCATAGGATTATTTGTAAATAACAAATAACTGTGGAAAACTGAAAACCAGAAGATTTTAAGTGGCTAGCCTTCACAAAATTCACCTGTTATGAGACTGATTTTTTACTTCTTGGGCCAACATCCCCTAAAAAATCTTAAAGCAATTAACACTGTGCAGTGAAATTTGTTTCTGTACAAGCTGAGGAAATGGAAATCATAGCTAGAAGGAAATCTTCCCGCAAGTCTTCCAAGTTTTTAAAACCATAGTCAAGACTGAGCACCAGGTAGAGGGTTACCAAGCTCCCTCATAAAGGATTAGTGAAGATGATCTGACTAAGAACGCTGTGGGAGCAGAAATGCTTCTGTATTTTTGTTTCAAAGAAAACAGGAGTTTTTCCCAGAAGAATATTAGCACACGCTGTGCTGCTTTTATCAGATCATTGTTGAATTCATTCAGTGTCTACCACAGCTGTTGTGCAGACAGTTGTGGAATTTCTTTTGTTTGTTTAAGAGCATTTAGTTTAAGTGCAGGTACATTGATTCCTAACAGACTTGGCCTGTCAGAAGAATCACCCCAGTGTGGTGTTGAAAGTGGTGCAGTCCCTAGAACACTGTCCAAAGAGAAGCTCAGTCTGCAAACATAGATAAGTAGCACCAATATTTAGCTGAGCTAAATACTTCTTCAAATAGCCTCTTGCAGCTTTAATCTCCCTTTTTAGTACAAATAGTATATGCACATGCACAAGCCTTTGTATGCATATCTCACAACTTCAGAAAGCCCTGGATATCTCCCTTGCTTCAACAAGCTTGCTATCTATGCCGCAGCTGTAAATTTTGCTGGTGAAGACGACCCAAGTCTGGACAAGTCTGAAGCTCCTGATCTTTCTTGTCAGTGAAAGTCTGTCCTTCAGTGTCAAGGCAGCGCAAAGATTTTTTTCTCTGTGCTTTGCTTCCACTCCCACTTTCTCTTACCTTTTCTTCATTGCTTAGAATTCCTCTGTAAGTTCTCCATTTCGAGTTGTTATTTCTGTAGTTCAGTATAAATGTCTTTACATAGAAATTAAAATTCTGCATAGTGGGTCCAGAACCAGTGGTTTTGATCCCTTTAAATGAAATGCAGAATATATTTTCATGTTAGGTTTCTTTTTCAATGCAAGATTTTCAAATGCAAACAAACACACAGCACAACCAATTCAAAGACCTTCAAAGATCTTTGAAGCCTTAATTTATTTTTTAAACCATGTATGGAATTCAGTTTAGAGTTTGGGTCAAGAATAGAAATCAGAGTTAAGCTGTGAATTTCAAGGATCTTCAATCAGAGCCTAAGTTAATGACTCCAGAAATGGTAATTGCTTTTTAATATTATGGTCCATATCTGCAATCTGAAAATATATGCAAACAGAATTTCTCAATACAGAATATTTACTTACATTCAATGAAACAAAGATTTAATTAGTGCATTCTTAGGTTTTCAACCGTGTTTAGTTTCTTTCTCCAGTGGAAAATCCAGCTGCTAATAATCAGAGTGATCTACCTGTTATTCTCTTCTTCTCTCCCAAGTCTATCTCCAACCATTCATGACTACTGCTGTGGTTAGAGGCCCAAGCCAGTCCCAGGACTTGAAGCCACGCCTTGTCAGGAGACCACTGGAATAGCTGTCCAAATTCGTTGGTCTCCTCCCAGTAGGAGGATGCAGTGATCTGGCTCTTGGAGAGGAATCCTTCTTCCAGACTGAGAGATCTATTGCAGCCTAGGAGTCCCAACACAGACAGGCATAAGCAGTTATTTTGCATTTTAACAGTCTATTTTCATATTAGGCAGACAACATATGAAGACCATTCACAACAGCCAAGTCAGACATTGCCTAACCAGGTGCTAACCTGATGCTATCCATTAGTGTTTGCCAGTCAATTTATAGTGGATAATCCAGTATCAGAATGTTGCAGTCCCTCTCCTTTACCAGTTGGCTCCTATGTACACACTTTCTGACTACTTAATCTGTTATTTTTTCTTTCTCATTTTGGTTTTTAATCTCTGCAGTATTGTTTCGTTTATGTGAAGACTTCTTATATTTTATTTTTCTCCTTCTGAATCATAATATTTATGTTTAGAGTTTGGCATTAACTAATTTTGCTGTACAAAACATTGCTAAAATGAAGGCACTTTACTGAAAGGAACGCTTTACTGTAAATATTTCATGTTTTTCACCTGCAATTAGAGCTAGGAAGGTTCCTCATTAATGAAGCTCCTTGATACTGCTGCCAAGAGGTGATATCATGAAGGTAATAGCTTCAGGTAAGCATTACAAAATCCACCAAAGAACCCACAAAATATCTGCACATCAAGGTTCTTCAGAGAGAACAGGCCAGTGCAATATGGTTTCAATGAGTTAAAAATAATTTCCTGACAATTACAAAGGCCTATACATGTTCTCAAGTTTTCACTGGAATAGTAAATGATTTTATCTAAGATGACTGAAATGTAATTCAAGTGAATGAGAACGAACTTTTCCCCCTGCTTTTCTATGTTTTATGCAAATTAACAGCTCGACAGATTAAAGACATTTTGCATCTTTGAAAGTCATAAACAAAAGCTAGTTCTGTGTAAGTTCAATGTAAATATATTTCCATCCCTCTGTATGTTTTAGTTCTTTTATAACGAAGATGGAACTAATAAGTGTCTGAAGAAAAACTGCTTTCATTTTCTGCCACCTAAAGTACATAAAAATGAAACTGATTGCCATTTTTCATATGCTAGCACCAGAAATGTAATATCAGAATGCTATTCCTTTTTCTCATCTATGTGCAGATGACTTATTCCTATTCTGTTTTTTTTTTTTTTCCAGCTCACTTCACCTCACTTCTATTTTTTATTCAACCTGCCAATTTAAAAAAAAAGTAACTGTCCTAAAATACCTTTTCTAGACACAGCCTAACATTCCTCTGATTACTTTCCAAAACTTTTGAGGAAATACTTAAATAAAAAAGGTAAAAATAAGGCCATTATTCTTACCATTTGAAGTAAACATAAACCGCTTATCTGACAGCGAACCACTGTAAGAAAAAAAGATAATTCACTCTTTGAGGAAACGGCCATAGGAATGATAAGAAATGGGTGGCTTTGGCACTATACAGAATAACTTTTCATCCAGCAGAGTATCTCTGGTCAGGTAACTGTTTGCAGTGCTCTTGACTATCTATCCCCTCAGAGCACTCTCATGCATCCCATGCTGTGACAGAATCCAGCGCAGTTCTAGCAGCTTTCAGCATTTGCTCTGCTCTATGATATGGGATGATTGCCAATCTCCCCACCCTGTAACTCTTTCTGTGCACTTTTGTTTCACTTCTCTACACAAGATCTTAATCACTGCTGCAAAATCTTCCACCCCCTGGTCCTCAGACCAGCAAAATCAAAGCACGCTGAAGAAGCCAGGAAAGGACTGCACTAGCATGAGGCCGGGTTCTCTTCCCACATCAGTTTAAATTAGAGGAACTTAACTTATCTGTGAATTTCTATTGGTGTAAATCCACACTGTTGTAAATTCACATTGGTGTAAGACCACACTGGTGCAAGAAAATTGCCTTAGGACCAGTGAAAGAGTTATGCCTGACTATGACTAATGCATATTAGCTCCAGTCATTCCTTTTGCCTCAGTCAGGCAATGAAAACTTCCCATTGCTTTAATCTGGCTCAGATTAAACAGATTACATTCAGATTAACAGTTTGGTTCTGTTATAGTCACATTCAACAGCTCTTCGTAGGAGTTCTGTTAACACATCTGTGGTTTCCCTATTCTTCCTTGCAGCATGGGCTACTTCACTTCTGGAGAAAAGCCATTTCTTGGGCCACCCTCCACAACTCTACACAACACAGAACGTCACCCAGTGACTATAGCATGGAAAATCGTGCTCTCAGCCTCCCCATGGAGCCATTTTCCCTTCTGATTCTCACTGCGATCCCAAAATGATTCCTTCATTTGTCTTCACAATAGAAATAAAAGTTTGGGTTTCAACATGAAATGCAGATTTCCTGAAAATCTGGCCTTTTCTGTGCTGCTCCGCGTGGCCTCATGCATGCATCACGTGCCCCTCTGAAAGCTCTTGGGCAGTATGACTGAGTGGAGTACTCCAGCACTGAGCCAGTTCCAATAGACTGCCCTTTGCTGCCAGCCAGGAGCACTTCAGGCTGCTCAGGGAGGTTGTAGGTGTCTCATCCATGGAGACATTTGAGGCCAGGCGGGCTAAGGGTCTGAGCAGCCTGATCTACCTGTAGATGTCCCTGTTCATTGCGGGGGAGCTGGACTAAATGGCCTTTCAGGGTCCCTTCCAACTCAAATAATTCTATGATTTCCTCAGAGATTACCTATAGAGTCTAACAGCCTACAGCCTGACAGCGGTGCACAAAGCCATATGGTTTTTAAGTGCTGCAAATCAGGAAGTGAAAAGCAGGCTGGTGTCAAGGTCAGTAAGAACACTGCTTCTTTTTGTCACTGAGGGAAAGCCAATGCCTGCAGGCAAAAGAGGCCCTTTGGGGTGGGGGAGAGCACTGGGAGCAAACAGATCTATTCGGGCACGTAGGCAGTGGAATCACTAGGATGAGAAATTCAGCCCCTCCCTCCCGCATCCTCCCCCAGGCAATCCTCATGGGCCATCAGATGTGTTCTGCTTGCTTCCAGCCAGCTCAGAACCCCAGCCAAAACTATTTTTGCTTTCTTAGAGAACACAAAACAATCCAGTTCAAGAGAAGAAAAGAAAAACTGACTGTGATCAGTAAAACCTACTCAAAACAGAAGCATTTCTCGAATATGTATTTATGTGCTATCCCTCTGAAATAAAAAAAAGTCACTGAGCTCCCTTTCAAACTACAGGACAGCAATTTTAGCAACCAAAGGGAGGAAGTTAGCACTCCTGATACCTGTAAAGCTATAAAATCGGGCTGAAATATTTCTGCTATAATTCTGCAGGTCACTGAAGAAGACAAACTAATTCAGTAAGTGGCAATTCATCAATTTCATAATGTGACAGGTGGCATTTGTCATACAGATTTCACTTTGTCCTTTAAGGGATGGAATCACCCCATGCTCTTCATTTTCCTGCTTAACCAGCAGCACCACTGTCAGAACTGTATGGCAGACCTATGCTGGTGCCTCTGAGAAACAAAAAAAAAAAGAATGCTGCTTCACATTATAAGCTTATGTAAACCTCAGATCCTTTATTCCAGCATCTGTCCCAAGGAAGCTTTTTATAAGCAGCACAGGTTAACCCAAATCTCATATTCATAGCTCACAGGCACACGGGCTCATCCATTTTCACAGGCAAATGACTTCACATGTGCAGATGTACAGTTAGAGGCCTCCACAGGCAGCTCATATTACAAAGTTAAACCCCATATATTTGTCCTTGGGTAGCAGAAATGCTCAATAAATCCTGCCACTTGATATTCATTATATCATTTGTGGGTTCAGGTCTGCACATGGGGCATGAGAGTTGGAAATCTCATAGATAACCGAGCATAACAAGCTCGTTGAAAAATGGAATCAGGGAGGCCAAGGTCAGGTCTTAAGGGCTGGCAAGTGAACGATTCATAGCTCTGCTGGTACTTTATAACACAGGTATTTAACAGCTCGGTGCACACAAGCAGCAGCTTTGACGAGGTCAGTTTCAGCTCAAGTCACTAAATAATTTAAATCTTTAATACTGAAATCCGCTATAAATGAGATTTTTAAAAACTCGAGTAAGCTTTCATTTAAGGCAGGACAAAAATCTGGTACAACACTGCTATCCTCACACTTGTTTTTCCTTGCTGATGCTTGCAAGCAAAAAACATTCAAAGGAATGTATTGCTGTGCGGAGGTGTCCCAAGGACAGGGAAGCTGGGCAGCTTTGGGAATACGTATTATAAAAATGTTTTAAATGCATGATATGCACTTTTTAATTTTTCATAGTAAACAGGTCATCTGCTTCCAGGAACACGTTTCCATGTTTTGAGATAAAATGTTCTCCCTGCACCTCTCAGTTCACCTCCCTTGGTACGATGAGGTCACAGCAGTGTTTCTTCTGCTCCTGGGACTGTCCCAGCCACCAGGGGCAGCAGAAGCATTCCAAGAATCGTTCTCACCCTCCAGCATTTCTACAAATCACACATCTCACCTGTAAGCATCTGACATGCTAGGAGCCCATGTAGCTGTGTCTCTCCGTATGATCTGTAGAAAGCATTGGTTGATCCCTCAGGGCAAACCCATTCCTTTGGGAGAGCACAGAGTACGTCCATCTACCCCAGTGTGCAGGAGGTGACGGCACTCCTCACTGGGGTGCTCTCTGTAGAGCCTCACACTAACTGGGATAAATCCAAGCTGGGAGGCCTGTTTCAGCACAGGAGTACACATCTTGGCTCTTGTTTGAGTCAGTGGGAGTTCTATCGCTCGATGTTACAGTTGTTTTCATCTCTGCAGGCACTTTCGTTACTCGCGTGAGGTGGATAACTCATTTTGAGTAGCAACAGTAAAAGGATGCTTGGCAGTGAAGTTCATGGGTTAATTATGCAAACAGTGTTTTTCCCCAGCACATCTACATTTGCTTCTTCTACGCTTCATTCATTGCTCACTAACTCTTGTACTGTGAAAAAATACAAGTGGGAATCCCAGCTGTCTTTCATTATACCATTTTATGTGCTACTGTCTGTGTTACACCTGGGATTCTCAAGGATCACACACATAAAAATGTATGTAAATGGTTCTACAACCTCTGTAATTAAGGCACAAAATATTTAATTTCTTAGGATTTCATAAAGCTGGCATGTGTGATGGAAATAATTTGTATTGCTTGCTTTATGGTAAGGCTCACTGCTGAGCTGAGCCCTCAGTCCTGCTTTCCTTGGTACAAGATCATATCATTTTTCCACTTATTTTAGCTGTGAAGCCACATACTTAAGGAAAATAGAAAATATTTAGGCTTTAAAGGCCTTCTGCTAGTTGTCTACATGCTACTCACTTTGTATTCAGCAAACCACAGTACCAATATACAAAGACTTTCCACCTGCACCTAAGGTTAAGCACAGCAATAGACAGAATGAATGCCATGTCTTCTGTTGGGTTCACAAAGTGAATGTGGCCAAGGTCACTGGGAACAAGGCTTAAAAATTAAACATTTGATTACATAATTTGCTTATCACATGCAGGAGTAAGATGCACGTACAGATAGCTTAAAATTAGCTTTGATTTCAGTACCAGCATGTTTCATAGTGATTTCGTAATTGGTCTGCCTTTTTTGCTTCACTGAGAGAATGGAGAAGCCAAATGTTTACAGAATGGCTGATATGGTTCTGTAGGATTTCTTCTTGATCCTTTTTTATTTTTTTAAACAAAAGAAACAATGATTGTTAAATTGTTGAGAGGATGTGGAGCAAACATAGGGGAAATAGGCAAAAAATGAAAAGTCATATTCCCTTGGCTCTTGTAGCGCATGGGGCTGAGGAGATTTTCCTTCCCATAAGAAAAAATGCTTATTGCAATACCCAGATAACATTTAAAAATTCAAAATACAAACCAACAGAGATGACAGAGGCAGTTGCTGGAAGGGCTTACTGTACTGGATAGAGATTAGAGGATTTATTTCTACTTCAACAACAATGCAATTATAAGTCAGAAGATAAGTGGTAAATATAACACCCTTGCTATAAGTATTCTAAAGGAGAAAAATTCTGAACATGTCAAAAGCACAATGTTTAAGAAGGTATTCATTAAATCCCCCATGGCTCAATGGCACTTTCTATTTATTTGTTATTCCTAGGTGGTTCTTTTTTTCCACTTTAACATGAATTTAGCATGACTTATTAATACATCTATTAAAGATGTTTGTTACAGAACATCATACCTTCACTTGTCTGCTAAAAAACTAATTTGCAAATGTATTTTGGAAGGAAAGGAAGAAAAGAGAGAGAAGATACAGCCCTAAACTTTATAAAGCCAGATGAACTTGAAACATTTTCCTACAATCTCTGCCAACACCATGTTAATAAAGCCATAGAGACAAATCCACAAACCCTCAAAACCAGCAGCTGACATCTCTTTGCCCAAAAAGCATTGGTGTGGTGTCTCCCCTCCATTTGATGACCTGGCCAGTACACTGGGGTTGTACTGGGGCTGCTCCCAGAGCCAGTGGTGGGTAAGTTAACTTCCTTCCCAACTCCCTATGCCCCAGAAATACTCACTCATGTGAGGAGATACCATTGGCGACAACGCCTTCATAGCGGCTGATGCCCTTCTGCTGGGTGACACTGATCTGACCGCCCAGTTCATCTGCAATAACACCTGCGTGTATCGCCGACTTGCACAGCAGTGAGGTCTGAAAAGTAGAAGCCATCAAAACCCCAAATTGAGAGGGCAAATCTGACAAAGTGGTAGTACTCTCACTTCCAAGCCACAGCTGTGGAAGTGTTAAGAGCTCATAAAGTCCTGCAAAGGAATGAGAGCAACAGGGAGAGACTTAAAAAGAAAGAACATTTATCTTTGAAAAAATACATGCTTCCAAAAGTCAGGTTTTTCTCAAATGAAGAATGTAATTGTCTGATTCTAGGCAAATGTGGTGAACTTTTGACCTGATAAATATTTGGCCCACTTCAGGAAAACAAAGTCAAAGGCAAAGCAACCACTCTTCTTTGCAAAGAGAAAACAATAATGGCTTTTGCAGACTGACCTGCAGCCAGACCTACCTGTTACTGCATGGTGCCTTAAGATTTTAGTCATGGCATGCATTGGGAAATGTGGCTGTGTGTCATTCACATGAAGCCAGCTTGGGCTCCTCTAGCACCTGGCAAGAAGGGCTGTCTGCCTGCCCCTTCCAGGGAGGGCTGGTGTGTTGGGACACTGGGGTAGTAGGGCTCCAGGGAGTCCTGGAGGTCTTTCTCATCAGAAAAGCTGAATCTATGTTAATGGCGGAGGGAGGATTTCCTTCAAAAACTCCTCCGCCTAGATAACATCTGCATGAGGTCATGTCATGTGCTGCTTTTTTTTCCCAGTCACCCTGGGCAGCAGGAATAACTCCAGCTAATTAGAATGCAATGTGGCATTTCTTTGTTTTTTTTAGCTCTCCCATTCTCCTGGATGGGATGGTGTGCTTGAGTAACTGGATGAACAGGTTATGCATGGATTTTCTGGAGACTCAGCAACTGCTTTATTTGTGATATGGTGGGGTTTTACTTCAGTGGTAGGATTAATCTTAACTCCACTCTGAAAGATGTCAAGATTTCAGAGGCATACAGGACAGTGAGGGGCACAGGACAGGCAGAGCAATGTGTGATAGGAATCAGGGATAAATGTGATGACATCCTTAAACACATGGATGTGTTTAAGGCCAGGTTGGACAGGGTCCTGGGCAACCTGATCTGAATGTGTGTGTTTGGTGGCCCTGCTAGGCAGGGGGGTTGGAACTACATGATCCTTGAGGTCCCTTCCAATCCGGGTGATTCTGTGATTCTGTGATTCTGTGATAAATGTAACCACTCAGGCAGCTTTGCTTTAAAGAGTGAACAGTTAATAAAAACTGATCCTAAATGTTTTTAGTTATCGGTGGGATATGACTGGACAGCGTATAAAGTTAATTTCATCTCAGAGATGTTCCTGTAATACTGAAGGCTGAATCGTAAAGAGAACCTTCAAGTAATACATTTTATTCCTATGAGAGATAACATCAGAAAAGAAATGCACATGGATTTTAAACAAGTATAAGGTAAATTCATAGGAGTATTTAGGACATCAAAGAACGCTGCCTCAAGAAGGAAAAACCCTATACATCCAAAAGGCCAGAAACCTGGAGTTAGTGTGTTAGTTTGACAATCAGTGGACTTTGTTCTTACACAATTGATTAGTCTGTTTGAAAAGTATTTTCAGTATGTGCTCAGTGTACACTGATAACATAGATAGAACATAACACAGCTGGGAAGAACTATTTACTAAAGCTGAGCAGCAAAAGCTGAAACCAAATTGTGCTATGTAACGGAGCAATGGATTGTCTTTTCTGTTTTTATTAAGTTCCTCTCTTTATATTGGGTACTTACATCTCTGTATCCTTCTTCTATATTCCCAGAAATGTCACCTGCTATGTCTCTGCAGCCAGCAGGACAGTACCTGCTGTAGTAAAAGAATAAGGCTTATTTAAAACCTGGACTGTTATGATGACACACAAACTGTATCCGAAAGAAAAGCTCTCAGACCCATAGATACTTCAGCAGTATGTTCTGGTTGACTGTTCATTAGTGATTACAGAAGGTAAATAGAAGTGCCCTTGAGTGGAATGCACATAGCAGCACACAAAGAACTACAATAACAGTTCTTCAAGTGCATTTTGTTCAATCCTGTTGTTCTAGGAATGTTATTACTCAAGCTTTCAGCCCAGATAAGAAGTCTGCATGCACATCCAGGCAAATAACCAGCAAAGTACAATTAATTACCATTTCAAATCCTATCAAGGAGCCCAGAAATTATAGCTTATCCTCAGATGATCTTTTATCAGCTGAGGCATGATCTGCTCTCAGGAGATGCCATGGTATTCAAGGCTACTTTGAATTTCAAAGTGGAAGTTCTTTTTACATTTACCATACGCATGCATTCCCAAATGAGGATTGCTGAGAGCTTTGTAACAATATTCTCTTGTTTTCCTGGGCTGCAGACTTCCATTCTGCACTAGTGCTTCACACAACGAGGCCTGACACTACTGTAGTATTGTAGCTCAAAAACATTCACTTTTCCAGAAAGCTAAGACTGTTCATGTCTTATGAGACATTTTACAGCAATTTGACCAGGTGACACAGAAAAATAAGAAACGGTGAAGAAAGATATAAACCTTCTTTACCTGTATTCAGTCTTTGTATAGTGGTTTGCTCGTTCCAGACATGTGATTAGATCTGTGGAATTTTTTACAAATGTCAATTCAAGTTGCAAGACATAGAAATACAGAAAAATGTTTGGCTAAACATGAAATTGCATTTGAAGACTTCTCTGTATAATGCTTAGAGATAAAACAACAGCTATGGTTTTCCCTCATCCTTTTCATCTTCCACTTCTACTCATATTTTACATACCTTCAACAAAGATGCATAGGAACACCCCCCAGAATATTAAATGTAGATTTTGTCTCTTCACCTCTCCAATCACTTCATCCTCTCACTGTGTGGTAAAAGCCCTGAATACAGAGGCTTCTCATTTTCTATTTCACTGGGCCTGTTCTACAAATTATCTGGGTAAGATTTTAGCAGCTTTTTTATCTGCTTAACGTTACTATTGCTTCTCATACCCATGCTGTCAAAAAGATGATATTTCATGCCAAGCCACCTGAAAATATTTAGGACCAAACATATAAGCCAAAGTCTGTGGTAGAGAAGATAATGAATTAGGGAGGACTATGGTGTTCGTCCTTTAGAAAAAGTGCATTACCTGGATGATCACTGCTGGCATAAGATAACAGAAAGCCTCGTCCTGATATATGGGATCCACTCTCAAAGTGGATAGTTGCTTCATTGCTGTCCAAAATGATTTCTTTGGGGACAGGCATCATATTACCACAGTAGGGTCCTACAGACAGAACGAAGATTTCAGAGTTTAGATGAGATAGTTAGGCTGGAATATTCTCATGATAAATAAGGAATTTCATAACATGCTCATTCTCCTTCAGAACCAATCCACATATTGACAAAAGGGCTTTAGCTTCAGTCCTTTATGGGTATGAACTCCAAAGTTACCTTGACAAAGAATGACAAGAATCCAATTGTCCCTTCATGGCATGAATTCTAGCATTAGCATCTCTCATCACATAAGCCTCAAGAAAATGATTAATACTCTTTCACCTTTGAAGTAGAGTGTTCTTAAATACAGCAGTAACTCAGGAGAGAAAAGAATGGAATGAACGTTGAAAGGCAATCCAAGGGATCTATAGAGGATCTGCTATAGCTGCTTCAGCAGAGCAGCTATTCTGAAAAGCTTAGGAACACAAACAGCACACCTTGTCTTAAAGGATGTGTGTGCCATGTGTCAAGTTTATGAGCAGGAACTATTAAGAAAATTTCTGCATTTATTGGCATTTTAAAAACATCACCAGATCATTGAAATATATAGTTTAGATTTCCTGAGCTTAAGACAAAGTAAAGAGGGACAGGAAGGGAGTAGAAAAAGGAGACACGAGTCTTGTGCCTACACTGAATTAGATAATGGTTTTATAGCTGCCAACTGCAGTATCTTGGAGCACTCCTCAGGATAGTCCTTTCTTGTACCAGCAGGCTCTCACAATTACATTTGCTTCTTCAGAAGTCACTTCCTGAGGGGAGCTTTCTTTTGAAATTGCCATAGTCTTGCCTTCCATTGCCGTATCTGGATGCAAACATTTGTCTCTGGCTGCCCTCAAGCACAGAGGACACAGGAAATCAAGAGCACTTTGGATACATTTTGAATTTAAGGGGATGTTTACAATATAAAGTGCTAATAAGAGGTTTTGTAAAATGGCAAACACTTTCCTACTTAGAAGGCCTCAGACCATCTATTCTGTTGAGAATTGTAACAGCTTTTGTGTAATAAAGCAAGACCTTGGGATGGAAAATGATCCCTTTGACTTTTTTCCAGGACAATCTCAATTTTTTGGTGGTGGATACTTTATGGTACCTTGGAACTGAGAGTACAAGAAATCGCAATCAAAGTACAGCACAAAATTGAAGAGCCTTCTGAACAGGTGTCTAAAAGCCCCTTCATTTTGTTTGATACTGTCTTTCCCAAATACTTAATCAGCCTTATAGCAGCTAGAGATCATCCTGTAGAGTAGCCCAGTCAGAGGCAATGACAGCCAGCTGTCAGCAGAAGAGGACAAATTAAAGGACGGATTCTGTCTTTTGGCTTGTAAAATTATAACAAAGGCAGGCAGGCAGAGAAACAAGTGACAATTGTGACATTTCCCCCGAGTACTACTGTGTCGAAAATGAGTCACGACTTACTTAGAGAAAACAGTATCTATAAAAAGGGTTAAACAAATTGCTTAGGAAATGAACTTATCAAAAAGAGAGCATTTGACACTGTGTCATACCAGACAACTGCACGAGTGTTTTATTTGAGAAGGTCTTTTGTGTCAGAATGCAGTGGGAGAAGTGCTAACTTACAACTTCATTTTTCTTCTGAAGTATAGGAAGAGAGAAAGAGAGAAAGGGGAGAAGGCAGGAAGGCGTTGTGCTTCTTCAAAATGAAACACCTGAGAAAGCATTAGTCTTTTTCTTGTCTCAGGGACTGACTGTATATTTTCTCACCAATGCTCCTTTCCTTTTTCCCTAACAGCAATTAGCAGTGACATGTCTACTCTGTAGGTACAATTTTGGTGGCTGACTCACTCAACCACACACCGGCTGGGTCAGGATTAGCTGTCTCCTACAGTAGCAAGTCTACATGTTTTCCAGGTAACTATACAAACAAATCACATGTCATAAGTAAAAATGATAAAATAGAATAAGAAAGTCTAGACTCATAGAGTTGTATATTATGAAAGCCAATAATTCAGAAACAGATTAAGAAATCAGCATGCAATGCCTGAATACAAGTTTATACTGTTAAGTAATAAATCCAACAAGGGTTACAAATCTATGGTTATCTCCTTGTTTTGTCGAGGGTGGTTCTAGTGTACCCAGAGACAAGTGTGTGGCTCTGAACTAAGGAGATCTAGAATCAGCTTAGTTTATCATAAAGGATATAAAAGCAAGAAACAGTAACCACTGAAGAAATTAATACTTCCCAAAATTGTATGAATCACCTATCTGCATAGATTAAAAAAAAAAACACAGAAACAACAGATATTAATACCAGAAAACACTCTTGTTCTCTCATTGCAAACAGATGAAGCCTTGCAAAGTATTTCAATACAGTTCTTCCCAGTAAGTCAGGTAATATCAGCAATACACAGCCAGGTCATCAGACTTCCATGATATCTAGTAAAGCTTAATTGCATGCATGCTATCAAATACAGAAATTTGCACTGAGAACTATGGTTTAGAAAAGGGTACAAGCACTACCTCACATCCCTACTTCTATTCCTGGAGATACTGTTTTGGTTTCATTATGTGAAAGAACAACAAGCATGCAGCCAGTTTTTTGAAAAAGTGTCATTTCTCTCTCTTCAGTTCTTAATAGTGAGCAATGCAAGCACATCTGATTTACTGAATAACACAGCTTTCTGGCTAGCAGCTAATCTCTCCATTTTGCCCAGTTTTTGCAGAGACCTTTTGACCTCTGATTCTCATTTTCTCCACAATCAATTCATTTTACACCAACAGTCTTTCAAGAAATTCCCCATATGAAAACTGGTAATTCTTACTAAATAAAATGGATTTGGGATCAAGGCAGTTCTTTAGGGTCAGTTTCTGAATTCTCTGAATTCTATGTTTCTGCCTTCTAATTTCCTTCAGAAAAATAATGAGACTATTTTTAACTACATGTACTCCTTCCTATGCACTTGCAGCACAGCTGCTCTCCATTTGTTTTAATATTATAAAGCCTGAGAAATCATACTCTCCCAGACTTCTGAGATTGTGGTTCATGCTGTGCCTGAGTGCAATGCACTTTCTCTACACACAGCAGCACCCAGCATATTTGCTCTCCACTGACATACCTAGTGTCCCTTTAAATACACAGATTAGGAGATTTTATACACATTAGTAGATTAAAACCCATCAGCACCTGTAGCAATTCTACTTAAATTGAAACTGTATTTCCTAGACAGTACTTTCCACTTGCAATTGAGGTGACAAAATCATGGATCTTTATCATCTACTTCTGAGATTCACATATGCTCCCTCTTTTGTCTGAGTATTCCATTCTGTCTGTTGACAGCCTGTCTACATGAATACTGAGCAACCTCAGAGAAGAAGAGGGATGAAGGAGAAAGCTTTGGTTTGTGCCCAATTTGAAAGGGAGAAACTCATTTAAAGGCCTTGTTAAATTTTATAGCAGCGTTTGGACTTGACTCTGGATAAGCATTTAATTTTTATACTTGGGACTATGCCAGAAGTCTTTAAGATTCCTTTTGAAAACTGCCAGATAACTTTATCAGTTTTTCATCTTCTAAAGTTAGTTGTGAGGTGGGTTGCTTTGCATATTGAGTTTGAAAAACAAGTCATGAATGTTGATCTCTCTCCTTGCTTCCTCTTTCAGTGACTCTGCTGGATGTCTGCTAGGGTAAGGAGGAGGAGGCAGGGTTGTTTGGTTTGTTTACTAAGAACAAAGGAAAGATTTTGACTTAATAAACAGATGTGTTATATGTCATGAAATTGAGTAGGTGTTCTCCATACTTCAGTATTAGCATATCTACATATCAGGGCCTTTCTTTTTTTGGCATCTTGCTGAAGAGCTGACAGAACTGTGGTTCCGTCTGTTCGCTCCAGATTCATTAATAGATATGTATTTTTTAAATTCTGCAGGAGGGCTATTAGGGGCTTATGGATCTTGAATGTTCCTAATTTAATATTCTCTAAAATTAAATTAATATTTAATGCCTTTCTTCTAGAACTCCTAATCTGGTGATATGGTTTAGGTGGCTTAAATGAAATACTCTTATTTTGAAATTATTGTTTCCAAGCAGTATTAATGTCATGGGAAATACATGGTGAATGGTCTCATGTATATCCTTTGTCTGCCTCCTCTGGAGACCAAAGATGTTATTTTATGCTTTGTTTGTTTTTAAAATGTTAGCAATAGTCTACCACTTTTGTCTTTTTGATAATAGCATTGTTTTGCAAATCTGATGATCTTTACAATGTTGTCTGCTTTTATGAAGTCTAGTTTACTTCTACTGTCAGCCAGACTCTGGAACATTTCCTGAGGTCATTCTGTAAAGCTGTGCTCCTTTATGCTTTCTACTTCCCTTAAGAAGTGCTCTGCCAGAGGGCTCACTTCTCTCATACCAAGCAGCAATTCCTACATGCTGTTTGTTTCTGCAGGTTTTGAAGTACCTCAATAGCTGGAGAAGGACAGGGGATATGATGAACATGGATTATGCCTGCATTATTTCAGAGCTAAAAACTCAGCCAGTTTGTAAAAGATTTGCACAAACAGCTCACAAAAACTGCAAGGATTTCTTGTGTGAAGATGTGCATTTTTAAAATTTGTCTCCATCCCACATTCATACACATGCTTTGCTTTCATATGCAATGACAGAGCATAGCTGGTAACTCTTCTCCTGCTACTGAGAAAAAGAGAAGACTCCACAGTGTGGGGCAGAATAAAGTGGTATTTAATGCTCAATAGATATGAGTTGACAGGGAAGTCACATCTGTTACTCAGGGTGAGACAGTCTGATTATTCAGCATTTAACTTTGCACAACACAGTCTGACTTCAAAATAAGACTAAGAGTTACTTGTTTTAGGAAGCAGTCAGGTAAAAGAAGTAATTAATTACAGTTTATAAACAGAGAGCCCGGGCCACCTGTCCTGCAGGCTGTAGGTCTGCCTGCTTGACCTCACCTAACACTGTGCCTGAGGTATTAGCTAAACCCAAGGACAGAAGCCCAGCTACAGCTAGGAATCTTTAGCAAAGAGATGCACCTGTTTAACAAAATAACTCAGAAAAAAGCACAATACAGTTTATGAATCTAAAATGAATATGAGGCCATTTGATAAAAGAAAAGCAAAGTCGTTGTTTTACAGCTAAATCTTTTGAAAGCTGCTGTAACCATTCAGGCGAAACCCAACTGTTTACAGAGTTTTGACTGTTAAGAAATCGCTCAGCTTCATCTTCAGTGAGAACTTGTCTGGGCATTTCGCTGGATTTCCTGAAATACCAGAAACAATACTGCAATAACAAGTTTCCTTTGAGGAGTGAAAAAGAAGCCTGGGCGCACCCTCTGTTCAAGAAAGACACATATTACAATCTGTAGTAAGTAGACAATGAGGGTGGTTCAGTGAATCCCCTCTCACCATGATGACAGATGTGAGGCACTTGAAGGCATTTGGTTCTCCTGCACACACACACAGAATGCACGCTCACTCCCAGCAGCCACTGTACACTCACACATCAGTGAATGCTTGGTTTTCCTAACAACCACCAGTGAATGGCTGCAGGGAGAAAAGAGCATTTCCAGTAATTTCTTTTGCTATTTCACACTAGTTACTGAGTGCAAATTATGCAAGAAGTTAACTGTGTTAACTCTCCAAATTATTACTAGTCACTCAGCAGATCTGACATCCACCCCAAAGGAACACATCAGCCTCCTACTGACTGCAAGTGAATGGAAGTAGGCACTTATCTGTTCTTTATTCTCTCTCCAGTCAAAGACTTATGATCATCTCACAGAAATTAAGGGAAAAAATACTAAGCCATTAGACAAGAAAAGAGTGAAAGAGGCAAGCAAAAAGGGTCAAAAGAGATACAGAAATTTGATAGTCATGAAAAGAAGCTGAGCAAAAGCCATTTCTGTCGAGCCTTAAAAACGTTTTTGTTAATATGTACATAAGTGGTGTAGCAATGGCTGTCGTGTTCCTGAGAACTACAGGGACCACATGGTTAATCTTGTTTTCACATATCCCTTTAACTAATTAAAAAATCAGAAGCTCTTTTCAGAGCTTGGTATTTTTAATATGCTCAGCTAATGAAATTAACTCTAGAAGAAAAGCATTTCAGAGAAGGCTGTACCCTGTGCACGCTATGAAACGTACTTGATGTTATTTTCTATTCTAAATCCCTTCTGTGTGGAAAATAGAAGAAGCAAACAGAAAGAATCCACCCTCTTTTTGCTCAGTGCGAAGCCGTGCCTTTGAAAAGGGACACTATTTATTTCTCCCAGAGACAACATGTACAGAGTTGTGTTAACATTTAAAGATTTACTAGACAAAGGTGACTCAGTTTCAGCAAAACTGGTGTTACTCTACCTCTGCTGACTGATGATGAACGTTTTCACATCTAAGTCTGGAGGGAGAGCCAGGAGTTGGAAAGAAAAGGCTTACTACAGTGTCATTCCTCCTGTTAACCTCAAAGAAAACAGTGGGAAGAATAATAACCCTGAGACACAGTGTTCTGCCACTTTATGGTCCCAGTATTAGAGCATCATTAAGATTATTAATGACCATCTTCTGATGGCAATATTGTGGAAATTTAAACACAATGGCTGCCTTCATAGGTTCGTCAAAGCTGAGAAGTATCAAAAGTGAGAACTGTACTGTAAAGTTTGTGTTCTATATGAATGGGAAGGATTAGATCAGCATACTCGGTGCTAGACATCATTCTAGGCAGGAATTAAATCCAGAGTATTCCTGGGTATGTGTACAAGATGGCATGAATGCCCTGAATTTAAACACGTATCAGTGTTCTTTTGCCTCATCTGTAGTCACAGGCTTGCTAAAGCAAAGAAATCACCTGGCTAACATAAATCCACTTGTTTGGAACAGTTTCCCTTTGGTGCATGGGACACAAATACCCCAGACATGAACTGAGTTACTCCTTGTGTATTCCATGAATCCTGGCAGGAGGTTATTACAGTGAATGAATCACAGTTATATATAAAGACCTGTGGGACAGACGTGAAAGGACAGAATACTTTGTCATCAGAAGACTTGCTTACACTAATGTATTTACATGCACATGGTGTGGTGTTTTGTCTCTGATCAATTTTCTAGGTTTCATATACACTCCTCAATAAAATGTTGCATGCATGCTGATATTGCCTGTCTTGTATTCTGTGGAATTGAAGAGATCAGAGTAGTATTTAAAACATATTTCCCTTTGGACCTTATTTCCTGATAATTGCATACCTCAAAGAATACAGGCTGTCTGGCTAATTTGAAGTATGAGTAATGTTCACACTGCTTGTTTTCACACTCAGCTTTTTAGATCTTCCTTTTTAAGCCCTGGTCAGGTACAGACATCCCCCCAAACAGTCAAACATTAATTTTTAACTGCTAGAAGTTCCAATGCCTGCAAAGTATTTTCAGATCTCCATCATCCTATTAAAAAATTCAATGGCAAAGGTCAATATCTTCCTGAATGAAGATACCAACCTGCTTCAAGGATGAGAGGAGAGCTGTAGAAAGGAAACCTGGACTGAGAAGCAGCCACCTGAAAGGACTCCTCACAGGACCAAATGTGCTTAGCAGTGCCCAATCAGAGGGCTCCTTTTGCTTACATAAACACTTATTGAACTCTAGAACTATAGCAAAACTGTTGAAACAACACCCTTGGAAAAGTCTGAATCTCACCTGTGAATTCCTGTCTTTTAAAACAAGAATTCTGAGTTCTGTGAATTTTTGCATATAGTGCTATTTCCTCACTGCATGGATCTACCTGAACATAAAGAAAGGACTCTGTATACAGGAATGTCTACAGCAAGCTGTAGGCCACAAAAAACATTACAGATAGCATGTCTGCTTAAGCTGTAAAACCTGTTTAATCAGATAGAAGCAAAATCTGCTAATTGTGCAGTTTGTTACAAAGGATGCAAATTATAGTCCACATGCATCAGATATTGCTGATCAGGTATGAAAATGGGTGTGGGAACACTTTAAAAAATTCATTACATGGGCTTGATTGCATAATACACCAGCATTCTGTGTTTGTAGGCTGAATAGCTGCAAGACTGAACTATGTGAAGACACCTCGGGGCTGTTGTGTAAGGAGTCAAAATCTGAATTAGAATTCAAGCTTCATTTTTTACTTAAAAGACAATATGATTTATCCTTGTTTCTTAGATAAGCCTTTGATTTGAAATGTTAAGGTAATATCAGTAAAAATCATTCCAAGTTATGATAATGCACTACTAAACCCGTATCACTACTGCTAAGTACAGACAGTGTGCTTCAAGTGAACAGAATTCCTTTCTTACAGGTATATGAACGTAAACACAAATAAATAAATCCAAGAAACATTCCTTACACCTCAGATAAAGCTATATGCAAGGCTTAGATATGAACACGTCAGTGTTCACTCTTGTTGAAGGCTGCTTCAAAATGTAATACATCCCTTGTGATGAGCAATAATTACCTTTATCTTCATCTGTGAGAGAGGCTTTAATGCTTCACCTGATCTTATCTTACCAGATGAATTACAGGCCTACCATGTTCATGAATTAAAGGCAATCATCTCTCTTTACTATTATGAGACCTGAGCTTGGGTGAACCACATACTGCACTGAGACAAGCAATGAGCTGGGTCACCTTGACATCTTGTTGTGGCTTGCCTCTTCATTTTCTTCTTCCTCTGAATCTGCTTTGCCTGTAATGTCCAGTATCGTATACTCAAACTCAGCTGCCTGAAGGGCTACAGCCTGCACCCAGCTGGCAAAATCTTATGGACTTGCAATTCATGAGTTTCCTCCATCATTATGGCACTCCTCACAGCTCCACATCTTTGCCTGGATTTCAATCTGATGTCAGAAAAAAGGGCTCACTGACCTGAACATCAGTTTGACTCTTTTACAGAGCAGATCAAAAGCTCCAGCAGCAGCTGGCTGGGAAAACTGATTTGAGGAAGGCTTCAGGACCTCTTGGGAGGACTTTGTCGTTCTGTTGTTTTAAGTGCACAGCTATAGCATGTTATTACACTTATCCTTTTGTGTAAATTGCTTACACAAGTGCCTGGCTGCACACATTTAATATCTGAAGTATTAAAGACTTCATGTTAGAAAAGGCTATCGGTGACAAACAGGTAGCAATAGCAGAGGTTATCTTATCTGAAACTCTGACTAACTATGAAATAGATACAGGAGAGATGACTCGCTTTGACTTACCATGCATCGTTGAAGAACTCAGGATGGTAAGGTAGCTGGATTCACACTTCTGTGATTCAATATCCAGGTCTCCAATTTTTAAGATCAGGCGTTTTCCCTGAGGTACTTGGATTTTCTTTTCACAAAGTGTGTAGTTTGGATATGTCCCAGGATAGTTCTTGGATGCCAGGGTCCCGCTGTCCTGATACATCACCACATGCCCACATCCATCTCCTGCAGTAGAAGGAGAGCCAAGGAAGAAAAACAAAATACATTCCTCAATTAAAAAAAAAAAGTAAGAAGATGCTGACCACAAAACCATCTCAAATGCATTCCACCTTCTTCAAATATTTTGTAATTCTCCACCTCAGTTTTACAGCTGTAGGAAAACAGGTAATTAAAATAAATGGAGTCATATTTATCTTGCAAAACAGTAGCAAAAAGGGTTGGAAACACGAATTAGAGTATTTGACAGTTCTGTATAAACAGAGACTCTGGTTTTGATTTACAGCCAAACCCTACTGAAACCTTAAGGATGCAATTTCACATGTAATGGGTAGGATCCTTCCTCAAACAGTTTTCTCCCAATTATCATTCCACACTATTTCCGTGTAAGGAGCCATCAGGCAGAGAGCAACTGAATCATGCATGGATGCACAGACATGACCTAGCCACATACTGTCACAGTCCTGACTCATCTTACTTTCCTGTTGGTTTTCTTGCTCTGCTTGCACAATGCAAAAAGCACTGGGGACAAGGTAAACACAAATGGTGGGATGGGTGTCCTCAGCAAAATGCACAGGCTACTTCACGGCAGAGTTCCTAGAGAAATCAGCACTGCTTTTCACTGGTAGCAGGGAGAGAATAAGTGTTCGCCCAGCCCAGCCCAGCCCAGCATGGGCAGAGAATTGGTACTGCGGCAAAGTGGATTTTCATGGCAAGGGGTGAGTTCAGGTTTGGAGCAGCTGCAGAAGCATAGGACAACAGGAAAAGGTCCATGAAAATACAGGGGGGACGTGGGGACTGACGTGGAAAACAGGATGCGTCTACAGAGGGGAAGGAAGCAGGTGACAGATAGGAGACCTTGACTACTAGAGGAAGAAATTCTTAGTGAACTATTTAAAAGTGTACCAGTAATGTATAATTTATGTTTTAAAGCTAACTTATTTCATTATGCTGAACCTTGAAAAAATGGATTACATTATTACATTAGTGAAACCGGTGCCACATCTGTATATGTGTAGCAGCCCTCAGTGTTAGGTCAAGTGGAACACAGCAACTCTTTCTATAGGGATCTTGAATGCTGTTGCCCTTTACCACTACAAAATCAAAACTAATTCTAGAGGTGTTAATACAACAGAATCCGGAAAAGCTGGGAATTCATTTTTACTTAGAATTTCGCTTTTGGAGATGTTTTGGTTAAGTCATTTTGATCTGGCTGTTTTAATTACTACCTGAGTTTTCTTTCACAAACACCCAAAAGAACAAGCTTCAGATTTGATAAGATTGTTGACATGTGAAAAGCTAGAAAAGACTTATTGATAAAAATGGGTACCATTCTGGCAGCTGGGGTGAAGGTGGCATGCTGTGCAAAGGTAAGATCCAACATAACAAATGCCTTGCAACTATATAATTATACTGCCATTTCATGAATCTCACTCAACTGCTTATTCACAGGCAACAGCATTTATTTTGAAGCATTATCATTACTTCTGGCTTTGTTGCCTATTTAATTCTGTCACAGGTTCATGCTCAGAATAGAGGTGAATAAGAGACCTTATATATTATTGAATCTAAAATCATATCACCAAGAAACTAAAAATGGTTTCTCGGATCTCTCTGTTGACATATTTTTAAAAATACCTGTTGTTAAAGGTTGTTTTCCTAGCTCCTTTGATTTTAAGATGCATAAGAAAATGCTAACAACAAAAGGCAAATCAGTCCCTTGAGAAAAATCATCCTTTTAATGGAAACTTTTCTCAGCAGAATTAAAGTATAAGGAGAGATACAGTACATATGCTGTCAGCTTTCTTGACCAAGGGAGGTGCAAGCATTGTGAAATCAGACTGCTTCCAGCAGGATATGGGACAATCTGAGGTGTGTGTAGTAAGAAAGCTATCTACGGTCCTTATTTAATGCTTGTGTTTCTACCAGTAAGCATTTATTTTAGTTGAATTGCTGAAAACCAAGTGACTGCAGTCTGGAGTTTGATTTGCAACTTGTCCTCATTGGAGAGCAAAAAGGGAAAATGAAGGGAAAAGTTACACAGCCACAACAAGACATCATGGGGATGAGCTCCTTAAAACCGAAAGTCCAGTGTTTGCCTGGCTTTCATCTCAGTGGGTTTGTTCTGGCCTGTGCCACCTCAGTAAAACCTCAAGGATTCTGAGTGGTACAACTCTTCTCACAGTGCTGAAAAGACATCGTTATCACAGTGAGATGCTGACAACTGTACAGGTCACAGAGCACATTGCTGCAGAAAGTGTACAAGGAAAACTGCAGACACCTCAGCCCGCTGTCCTCCTCTTTGCAGGTTATACAAGGTCTTGTCCCCAGAGAAACTCCTTTTTTAAAAATCTTTGAGGCAGCACTGAAATGTAATAAGACCAGAACATCTTTAGAACTAAGAGAGCGTAAGTGCTATTTTCCAGCTTTTCAATTGTGTAATGTGGGAAGGACAATCATTCAGGCACTATAGCTGATGAGAGGAAAGCACAGCATTATCCTGAACCTGTGAAGTCCCCCAGTGCCCCTGCTCTGCCTGTCTGCCTCAAAGGAAAAGGTCAGGGCAAAAGTGCATCTGTAGCAGGAGCTGAAGCAATGCCCCAAGTCAAGCCAAGCCCCAGTAACTATCGCTTCTAACTCCAGAGCTACATTTTGACTTTCTCAGCAGGATTACCAGAGCAAAGAAAAATGCTTGAAATATGCTTGAAAATGCACACTAGGGAAGGAGTCTGAAGTCACAGAAGGAAGGCAGAATAAAACTCTGGTTCAGATAATTCATTCGAAGACATTTAATGACTACATTTAGAAAAAAAAAATTATAAATGTAACACTGTTTATCAAAGGCTCAGAAATTGAGGAAATGGAAAGGAATTGAAAATATATCCTTTCTTCATCTTTTCAAATAAAAAAATGTGAACAAGTCTATTATTAGTTTAGGTTTTATTGTTATTTTCTACATTAAATTTTGTTTTTCCGTAGAAATGCATTGACAAAACCACAAATACATTGAGTCTTACCTGGTTTGAATTCCTCTCATCACATTCTTCTTTCCTATAGGCACAGCTCTTGTGAATGGAAATAGGTGCATTTAACCAGTCAATTCAATGCAGGGTTTCTTCTAACTCTAAGTTTTCATTTAGCATTGCTTTTAGGAGCTGCTTTCTAGCACCCTATTGGGAAGCAGTTAATGGCCTTGCCACAGACATCCCAGTTTCATGGCTTCCCACTGGACTGAAGCTAAGCAAAATATTTAAGCAGAAGGTGTTCACCAGCCAGAAGACCAAAACACACTTAGATTTCATAAAATCTCCCCTCAGCACCAGCAGTTACTAAAAGCACATCAAATATGCTTTAGAAACTGCATTTGAATGAAGAGCAAGATTGCAACCCCTGCATTGGGGGCCACTGGACTACACTCAGGTTGCATGGGAGATCACACAACACTGGAAATGAAATTGTTTACCACAAAGATAAAAATAGTTTCCTGTGGGAGAGGGTGGAAATATCTGGACTCAAGCATAACCAGCTCCTTTTGCTGCAGAAGCTGAGCTCCCTGCTTGCCCCTTGTCTTTGCTGAGGGTGATGCATATGTCCAGCCTGGGTCTCATCAGAGGACATCATGGACCATGCTATTGCCCCTGTGGAAAGGGCAAGGGCATGTACTGGTGTCACTGGATGCCTGTATGGTTAATTTGTGCAGGTCAAAGTAAAGGAAGTATCCGCAGGCAGCCATGTCTGGACTTGGCCTGGCCACACTGGCTGGCACATGGAGGAATGTAAGTGATAAAAACTGCGCCCACAAATAAGCACGTGAGCTGCCCACAGGAATATCCCTGCACACACATACTGTGGCTCGGAAGGGGACAGCTTTCAGGAAACAGCAGTGGTCTCAGAAGCAGCAGAGTTGAATCTCTCTGGAAATAGCTCCAGTTCCTCACAGTGCCCTCCTGCCATCCAGTACTACCTGGGTGGCTGCCTCATTGCTCCTGCCTCCTCCCACAGCCAGCTCACAGGCTGAACCCCAGGCTTGCACCCCTGGGCTTGCCCACCCCTGCTATACAGCAGTGCTCTGCCCTTGGGGTAGAGGCTGTTCTCACGTAACTGCTACAGAATCCCTCACGTACTGCAGCTTTTATGAACAATGTTTATATTGCCAACTACAAAACGGTTACAAGGCACGATATCAAAGTGTGCTTTCAAAAGCTCTGCTACAATATCCTGGCAGAAAGCAGCTGCCTTTTTCATCCTTCTGACTCACGTTCACTGAGCAATTAATATCAGGCTTGGCCTCACTCCAGTGCTAAATATGTGTTATACCCAAGCATGCTCGGGCACACAGCCGCACACTCCACTATCCTCTGGGTGCGAGCATTTCTCAGCTGGTTACCAGCCCCTACTGCCACTCAGCCACGGCTGCCCTCCCAAACCAAGAAGCCCCCCCAGTGCCATATTTCCCTCTCTGCCCCATTCTTCCTGTCTGGATGCCAGCCTGCCTGCACGCAGGTAACTGGGACAAGGTGACTACTATCCCCCAACATTTTTCTTCCCACACAGAGGCCTGAGAAGAGAGCTTCCAGCCTGCTCTCCTCCTGCTACAGAGAACACAGAGCTCATCTGCCAGATTCTATATGCTGGATTCAGCCAGAAGTCAGTGTTTTCTGAAGAGCTACAGCTACAGGAAGATGTGGACAAAGCAAAGAAAATGCCAGTGGATTGAGCAAAAAGTTTTGCTGATAATCCCCAGCGAAAGCATGAATTCATCTCATCATCCATGTCTTTGCCCCAAAGTAGTAAACTCCAGCTCAAAGACACAGTAATAACTGTTGCAAAAAGGCTCTGCACCCGTTTCTGAAAGAGTTAAGCATAAAAGCAGATGAGTACCGAAAAAAGAAATTAGACTTTGCCAATCAGACCTGTGCCTTCCTTAATCACATGGGATAGAACAAAAGACCTGGGAAAACCAAGATGTTTTTTCCAGGCTCCATCCAAATCTATGTTGCAGTCTGACA